TATATATATATATATATATATATGATCAACAAATACTGAACATTTAAAATTATATAAATCAAATTAGACTTTCATCCATATTGCAATGCATGTAAAAATTATAAAACTTTAGTTACTACTGCAATAAAGCTTAATTGATTATACTTGCCTATAAAATTTGATCCCAGAATTTCTTTTCCACGTACTTCTGCAATCTTTAATACAACAAGTTACCGGCATTATATAAATATGTTTTATTGTAAAAATATATCAGGTAACATATGCGTATATATATACGCGCATATATATTGCTTTGAGCGCTCACCATAGACTTCTATGCATTATTAGACTGATAACTTTGCCTTATGTACTGTATCGAAAAATGAACCTTGATAAGTATGTATTGCATACGTAAAGACGCAAATTCATTGGACGCTGAACCAGCGTCGAGCGTAGTCACGTGACATCTCACTGACGCTAGCGTCAAAGAAAAGAAATTAGATTACATCTGTAAATTATCACTTGCAAGTTACACGTACAAATAGTAAAATGATCCAAGAATCAAGCTCCTGAGGGTGCATCTCAAAAAGTGAGAATTACAAAAATGAGCAAATTCACTAGATGTTGGCTAATGAAATTATAAATATTCTAGAAATTATAGAAATTCGTTCCCTTCTATCATTTTCACTTCGTTTCGAAATACATAATCGACCTCCTGAACCTACAATCCGTGATACGACTTTTAGCATAGCAGGATAAAGAAAATGGTGCTTACATTATGTGATTAATGACGTTTTCGATTTGTTGACTCAACCCGACTCGGGCAGTCCAATAACCTTTAGTAGCAATACGACAATCTATACTTCAAGTTACGTATACTATAGTTTGCGATAACGTAGCGATTAGTGAAACGCTGCGACCGAACGAGCGAATCGGGTCGAGTCAATAAATCGATCAGACAGCCAATCGCAGCTGACTTTCCTGTCACGCTTCCTACTTATATCCCGTGTCAGAATCCACTTGAAGCTACGAACGCTTCGCAGCGTTCAAGGAAAGAACGCGATTGGTTCATACCGCGCTTCGAAATACGTCAAGCGAATCCTACCCTAGGACTCTAGATTAGAATCGGATTGAGATCGGTTGGCAACACTGTTTCGCCGCTGTCAGCTGACGGCACAGTGCGTTTGGTTTACGGTTTAGTTGTGAGGTGAGTCGCAAGGCAGCAGCACGCAATTGTTATCACGTGAGAGGTCACAATGGTGTCTGACGGTCTCGTCGGCGAGCAGCGTCCAGCTTGCGAGATCCTTTGAATTCGCCACGGCGAACAGCCCGTTGCACCTGCCGCATTTGTCCTACTGACCTGACGACGACGAGACTCGGCGAACTCTCGGTACGTACGTCGTGTTCCGCATCGTCGCCGCACGCAGCGGCAATTCGCGGAGCGATATCGGGAACTTCACGCGTGACTCTGCGGCACCATCGATCGGAGCGACGATGACGGATCAGTGGAACGTTTGTCTCGCGAATCTCCCCGATTTCTTCTCCGACGAAGCCGCCCACCCATTCGCGTCGATCCCAACGCGATGCATGTCCGCCGGACGCCGTCTTTCCGCGTTCTCGACATATCTCGCCGCGCGCTGTTATTGATCCCCTCGCGAACGGCCCAGCGCCATTGGTTCACCCGAGACGACGGCTATTTTTCCCGACGTACGGAGCGGTCCTCTCGCGGGACAAATGCACCTGCTCAAGGACGCTCAAGACGACTCTCTCCGTCGTCGTACCGTCGCTCTCCTATATAGATCGTACCCGCGGCTCCGGCGCGCCATTCTTCGTGCGGTCACGTGGAAAACGCGCCTAATTACATAACGTGAAGCAGACAATGCTCGTCGTGCCACACCCCCTTCTTCGGTGCACCTGTCACAGCTCCCTGCAGCTCGTGAATTCGTCCCGATCGTCCCCGATGCCCGGTCGGACGATCATGTTCCACTACGAACTGGAATTACACGCACGTCAGTGCTACGGTCCGCTCGCATACCCGACGGCCTCGTGATCACTGATAAGCGCTCTGATAGCAGGTGGTTGTTTGGGAGGAATCAGCTTCGGCATCTAGCAAGATCAATGAGATCTCGCAATTGTTTATCCGATTGTTGTTAATACGAGTTTATAGTAATTTGAGTTTAATATATCACATAGAAACAACTTTGTTGTTTTAATTGTTTAATCTCGGGATAAATGAAAGTGCAAGTGCCACGCATGTGCGGACTTGTGTCTGGAAATTGGATGTAAAGAAGCATGAGGTGCAATTTATATGAGAAGATCATTAAGAATGTGTTTCTGTTTCAGGTGTATTAGAAACTTGGTCGCAAAACATTACTCAAGATGACGGATTACTGGCTGATATCGGCACCGGGTGACAAAACCTGTCAGCAGACATGGGAAACTATGAATAACTTGACATCCAAGCAGCATTCACTGTCAGTGAACTACAAATTTCACATCCCAGACCTGAAGGTTGGAACGCTGGATCAACTGGTCGGCCTATCGGATGACCTCGGCAAACTTGATGCATTCGTGGAACAAGTAACACGTAAGGTGGCGACATATTTGGGGGAGGTTCTGGAGGACCAGAGGGACAAGCTGCATGAAAATCTGATGGCTAACAACAGTGAGTAGAGAAACGCATAATGTCTTGTTATATTTCTCTCTCTTGGGCCTTTGTATTTTCTTGACGATATTCTTCAACAAGGAAGAGATGGTTGCTTATCCAGGAGTTCAAACTGTGTTATTTTATCAGCAATTATCTATATCCATCGAATCACCTTTACATTCCTCTTGAATGCCAAAAATTGCTAAATGAGAAATTGTTGATAGACACGACGAATGTTGTACTTTTATTCCAACACATATGATACATTTGTGGTAGCAAAATCGAGAATGCGAGTAGATTAGAGAATGCAAATCTATAGCAAGATCTTGATTCTTACCATTCGATATTCCGTTTGGACGGAAAATACGCGTTATGCAAGTTGTATATTCGACACGTGCGAAAGGACTAGTTGAAAACAATACAAAATCGTTGGTAAAAATAAAAGCGAAATATTTTTGGACCCTTGCAAACAGGTATCGATCGATTGTCGTTTTCTACGATTCTCTATTATTTAGAGTAATGTTGATCAATACATACCATGAATACCATACACAACACAAAACATGCACACTACTTCGAGTTGTTTTTTTCTCAGTGATCTTCAATATCTATCAGTTACAATTAGCCCAGATTTTACTTGATTTATCGGGGATAATAATGAGTTCAATTTTAGAAAAGTACAACCCCTGTTTCTACCTCCTTCCTTATGTATCCTATATCATAGTCTAATGGAATAAAAAATAGAAAAACTTTCAACAATTTTGTCTGTATACATTAACGGTATGATAAGTATATAATGCGTTGAAATAATGTTACAGAAAATTCTCGCATGTTTCAACAGTGTAAATACAGACAAAATTTCCCTGTAGTATATATGTATTAATACCTGTGTACATGGTGCATATTGTTAAATTAGAAAAAAAATAACTTTATGGAGCTTCCTTATACAATATTTATGGTAATATCTATTTTATGCGTAATGTTGACATTTTCAATGTGTTGTGTTTCAATGTATTACTTGAATGGAATAATCTATATATTTTTAATATACATACATATATATATATATATATATATATATATATATATATATACCATGTAATATTCTATATTGAATTGTACGACTATATTCACACGTGTGAAACATACACATATATAAATGATATGCGCCGCCATGTACAACAGTACATAGTTGATATATCTGTAGAATGCTTATTAATGTGTTTGGTTGAAACATGTTTCCGTTTATTATCTACTACATATCATTTCTGAATTATTCGTGATGTTGCTTGGCTTACTTTTGTTAACTTTGACCACATTAACCCTGTTTTCCCCCCACCCTTATTATTTTATCGATAAGTGCTCATACATATGCACCCATGCAAAGAAACTTGTGCTAAGATATAAAAAAAAAGAGATCCAATCAAGACACGAGTACATAACAGTACATAAAGGACAAACAGAACGGCATGTGGACGGTATTACTATCGATCTGGTGTTACGGACCACACGCGTGTTGGAAAAAGATCTTCTGGAAGACGCGAGGAGTTGCTTGGGTTACTGTGGTCACCAAGCTCTGATTAGCCACTACGAGATTTCATTTTCCTTGGTTTCTTAATCGTCGAATTCTTCTTTCGTATTATCGTATTTTGCGATGCACCGTATAATTTAAAGTCGCAACGATTATTACTTCTTTACTTTTCAGTATACATCTGTCCATCAGTATTACTCGTTACGTTCGAATATTCTTTTTGTTGCTTAGTTTCTACTTCGTTATTGTTTCCGTAATATACCGGAGTATTTAATTGCGTAAATATTGTCTGTGCAAGAGAGAAAAACTTTTAATTTTTTTGGTGTAATCGAATATGTAACTTATATCTGGAATTTAGATTCATAGAACTTAATATTATTAAACAGTATTAAATTCTTCTACATGTTATTACTGAGTATTATATTATCGATTTTCAGAAAACGTTATTATCTCATTATTCGTGTCGGATTATATATCCATCTAAAATTAAAAATATCTACATGGTATATTTATCATTAATATTCGATTAATCGACAATAATTGGCCATAGTTATGCAAGAAAGGTTCAACCCACATGGGATACGTTTCGAGTAAAATGAAGATAAAAATTTGATACACGATTTAAAAGGTATAAATAGCACTGAGGTTTCTCACAATCGTACTGGAAGCCAAGCATTTTCTTCTCTTTAAAGTTATTGATAAGTTTTATTCTTAAAAAAGAAAAAGAAATTAGTGAAAAAGACGCAACTAGTAAAAAAAATGACACAACTAAAAGAGAATAAAAACTGTTTTTTTAATTAAATTTAAGTACCCATAAGATTTGGATTTTGTTTCATATAGAAAACCGTATGGACTGCTCATTGGCGAAACAAAATGTCAAAAATCACAATTTTGTGGGCTGGATCTTTTTTTTTCATACAACTGCAACCAATTTCAAATTCCTAATTTCAACTCGCTCAGATCCAGCGGAACGAAGTGATTTGCGCTAAATACTCCGTCTTGTCCTCTTGGGTTCCTTTCATTCAGTTTCGTCAGCATTGTCGTTAGGCATTTGCGTAGGAGACAATAATAGTTGAGCAAGACATAAGAAAGATCGCGCGGAGATTGGGACTGGGCTGTAATGGATAGGTCAGACATCAGTGGAGGGTGAGAGCTCGAGCCCCGAAGGGGGTCCGGACACCCCGCCAAACACCCCCGTTACACCATCACACAAGACTACGATGGGGCATCACAGGCAGTGGAGGGAGTTGGAGAAGTCCGAGCCAGAGCCGGCCGCCTGTTTAGGTCAGCATCATCACCAAGGTCATCACGACCACGACCACCACTACCACCACCACCACCATCACCACCACCACCATCATCATCACCACCATCATCATCATAACTCCCATAAGCAGCATCATTTCCCCGCGTTCGAAAAGAAGCTGTCGTACGATCTCCAGGGCATCTGCGATGTCAAAGCGTCCAGCTATCCCTCGTCGATATATTCATGCTACCATGCTCATTGGTGCGTTGCTTCTACACCCTCGACGCCACCCTCGAGTCCCGCTCCCGCGAGTCCGACCCTCTCCCACTCATCGAACTGTAGCAGCGAAGGAGAGCTCGGATGGCCGTCACGTCCTCGGATCGCTGAGACAGCAGACCGACCCACGCGCAAGTCGCTCAGGGATGATGATGACGACGATAACGACGACGACGACGATGACGATGCGGACCAAAGCAACGACCAAGACCAAGACCATAGTGGCAATTTGCCGAATCCAGGTACCCGTCCTGCCGCCGGATTCGAGAACGTGTCACTCCTCCTCCTCCTTGACATAGCCGCGAAGCTTCGTCCTTCCCGTTGTCTCCCATGTGCACCACGTGTCGTCTCGATCGTTCAGCGACTGTGTCGTGCCGCGTTTTCTTGCCAGACGTGAGAAAAATTGACGGAAAAGCAAAAAACAAAACGAAGAGAGAAAGAGAGAGGTTGTCAGAGTCGAGATATTGTCGCAATTTGCAGAGTGAAGAATTCTCGGGGCGGAGATGGGACGAAGGAGAAGACGCGCGAGGGAGAACGACGTATACACGGTACTTGTGAATTATGTTGCGTTTTAAGTGCGACTAGAATCGAGATTAGAACTTACAGATTGCGTAAAAGCGTTAGTTGCTCGCTTCGATAGAGAAAAGATACCTAGTTACATGGATGGTTTATCGATAATACTATCTTGATCGTAGAAAATTCTGACTGTTTCGTACAAACGAGCGCGCTTGAAACGTCATAGATATCGTAACGTGGTACAAAACAAGCAGTAAGACGGGTGGACGACAATCTCTCTCCTGTTCAAGATCAAACGTACGTGAAATTCCATTCAATCGAGTGACTCATTTCTCATCGACTTTTGACGGTCGAAAAAACCGAGAACGAGATATTTTCCTCGACCGCATTCACTTCGATCGATTAACAAGTCAGAAGTTACCAGAGAGGAAAGTCATCATGCCGTAGCACATCCTAATTACGATGAGTGTGCACACACCGTCTCTCCCACGATTTCTTTTCTTTTTCTTTCGAGATATCGCTGCTGTATTTTTAGTGTATTTTCAGCTCGTTTGTCTTCACTCTTGCTTTGTCCTTTATATTGGTTGTGTATAAATACACGCATAAGCCGTGTGAACACGAAATTGAACATTCCGTTTTCTGCAGACGATATGCATATCGTGTACGTTCGGTTATCCACCAGGCAATTTAGCTTTTTTTCTTTTTTTCCGATTAGCTCTCTTTCGTCTCCTTTTCAGTAGCTTTCGCCGTGTATTGCTTCCGCTGCCATTTATTGACTATTATTTATTATTCCTCAGTTGAATCTACCACTTTTCTCTGCTGTTATCGTTTATATTTGGTATCATTTGTGCATATATGTGTACGCAGAATATAGTTGTAACACGGGCACCCGTCCTGGGAAACAATAATTTTTGCAAACTGAATATACGGGGAAGTCCCAAACTTTCCTAGCGGTGTCGATCCCGACTCGTCGAAATGGAGACTTTAGACACGGTCTCGATCGAAATCGTCCAAGGGTTGCCGCCAGTCGGTGTCCTAGGCTAGGTTGAATTTACAAGTAGATTTGCGGACAAACTTTAACATTAGATAGAAATCTAACGCTCAAGACAGATCTCTCTACGTGGAAATTTCTCTCGTCGCATTTCTACCCTTGCTCCAATGATTTTTTCATCCCGAGTTATATTTCCGTTTTCCCAATGTTAATATATAACCTCCCCTCCCCCCCTTTTTTTTAATAGTTACTATGATTTCGAAGAAAAGTACCACATCGTACAGACGATAATACATATACAGAACAGTAATATTGTCAGACGGTAGCACAGATTACAGCACGAGATGGTATTACTGCGAATTAAACGGTGTTTATCGATCGGTACATGAATTTATGATATTACTCTGCATGTGCGACGGATCGTTGAGGTAGAACTTGTTGAGAAGCAGGTGCTCGACGGTCCTCGAAAAATGAACGTGCAAGGACCAGAAGAGCCTTTCGTGTATATCGTGTATTCATCTGAGAAAGGAGAGAATAGTACAGCGTACTATCACCATTTTATGCGTAAACAGTTGTCACGAGTCGCTTCTTTTTTACTTCTTCAGCTACCACGCTTATTTTACTGTGTTGCATCGTTGCACATCGATTCGCGGTGGCTGGTCACACTAGTGCCGGTGACGAAAGTGTCCGCACATGTCTGAGGAAGCACAAAGAGAAGTAATTAGTTTGCTGAAATACACAAACCCTCGGCAAAGTTTGACGAACTGAGAAGTGTACGTAGGTCGGCATGCATGTGTATGAGAATTTATCTCGTTTGACTTGAGATTAATGCATACATTTTTTCGCACCACGAGATGCATCCGGGGAGGAAATCAAATACGTTGATAAATGCAAGAAATATTATGACGATACGAAGTTATCAAGGTGTTACTAAGATTTGCATGCGTAGATGTATCACGAGATCATCAGTCCGTTCATCAGTGAGAAACTCTTTAAACAGAACTCGGAGATTTCTTAAGCAGCTTTCACGACGAATCTTTTGTTTTACGGGCTTTGATACCGCGAATACAATAGAGAGAATGGATGAATGTGTCACACACTTTTGTGATGAGAGAGTGAGCTTTTCACGAGCTTTTAAATAAGTTTATTTATGGATATATTCATTATTGATCGCATGATATATATATATATATNTTATTTCTCGTAATGCTAAGACAATAAGTGAGGAGCATACTAGAATCAGAGAGAGTTGTTTGTGTGCAAATCATTCCTTTTTTTGTTATTTATCTCACCATTTTGAATATTATCCTTCTAACAACATTACTTTAAATGAATTTCTACTTCTGAATTTATTATTACGACGACACACATGTCAAATGTTTTTGTACATAGATAATGTGTGCAGAGCTTAAGAAACTTACGCAAAATGGTTTTGTTTGATTATACATTTATGACACACTCGCAGTGTGTCTGCACGTTTCTCTCTCTACGTATATTTATCACTGAACATTGTTTTAATTATATATCTTATTTTTAAATAATTCTGAAGCTCTGCACTTACAAAGCTGCATATCAGAGTTTGTCCTTTATAAACAATTGGATTAATACTTTAACTTCATTAGGTGATCTGCCATCATATATAACTCGATTCCAGTGGGACATGGCAAAATACCCCATTAAACAATCTCTAAGAAATATCGCGGATATTATCAGTAAGCAAGTCGGGCAAATCGATGCCGATCTGAAAACTAAGTCCACGATGTACAATAATTTGAAAGGCAGTTTACAAAATCTCGAAAAGAAACAGACGTAAGTTTTATCGTTCCTCGCGTCTCCTCGTCGAAATTGCGATCGGCGAGTTCACTGGCGAAAAGTCATTTAATTCGCGACGTTCTCAACAGGGGAAGTTTATTAACGCGAAATTTAGCAGACTTAGTGAAAAAGGAACACTTTATCCTGGACAGTGAATATTTATCTACTTTGCTCGTGATTGTACCGAAGTGAGTATGTGTATTTACGGCGCCTTCGACGATAATGCTAGATTTATTGGAATTGGTTTTATCGAATCTTGGTATCTTTAGGTCCAACTTCCAGGACTGGTACGGCGGTTATGAAAAATTAACAGATATGATTGTGCCGCGCAGTACACAACTGATCACTCAAGATGCCGAATACGGACTGTTCACGGTCACTTTGTTCAAGAAAGTCATTGACGAATTCAAATTGCACGCTCGCGAGAAGAAATTTATCGTGCGAGATTTCACGTATAACGAGGAGGAGTTGGCAGCAGGTTTGTCAAAATAACTATCCATGGCTAGTGCGGAACTGTGTAATAATGGAAGAATATATGCGACGCGACATTTAACATATTATAGATATTCTTAGAATTATATATATTTTTTTTTAATCTACTTATCTATATATTATCTATATATTATCTATGTATTATTTATGTATATATATGGAATTCGTGTATCTTATACTGATAACGTTTCTTTTACAGGAAAAAATGAGATAACGAAATTGGTGACCGATAAAAAGAAACAATTTGGTCCTCTTGTGCGCTGGCTGAAAGTGAACTTCAGCGAATGCTTTTGCGCTTGGATCCATGTTAAAGCTCTGCGTGTATTTGTCGAATCTGTCCTTAGGTACTATACGTTAAACGTACCTCGCGCGAAATGTCGCGTCACTATGGCGTGTAGTAACACGAATAATTTGTAGATACGGCTTACCTGTCAATTTCCAAGCAATACTGTTGCACCCGCACAAGAAGTGCGCGAGACGATTGCGTGATGTTTTAAATCAGCTTTACGCTCACTTAGACTCGTCTGCTACAGGCTCGACGGCTGCGCAACACAATCAGGATGTAAGTTGGATTAGGATTCAGTCAGTTCTTCGGAGAGAGTTTTGGACATTCTCACACGCACTTGCAGAAATCACCATTGTCATTTCTGCGGACGATTTGCATGATTACGATGAATCTGAATTTCCTCACCTTTCGTACAAAACAAATGTGTATTGTTTTACTTTATACCCTATACCTCGATTTACTTTATACCTAACGAGAAAACCTTTTAATTTCAACAGAATGTAGATATACCAGGACTGGGTTTCGGCCAGAGTGATTATTTCCCATACGTCTATTACAAGATCAACGTGGATATGGTCAACAATAAAGTCTAAGGTCCACTTTACCGCTCCCCTCCCCCGTTCCCTCTAAGAGTCGCACGTCCTTTTATTTGCGCTCGAACGATATAGTTCCCAATTACATCGTGAATTTGGCAGCAGGTGCGTACGAGTTTTTCGCCTGTGTATTTATGTATTATGAGGAAAAAAAACTCTGCATTTTCAGAAACTATTTCTTCGGATTTTTCTTTAGCCTTTACGTTATAATTACATCGATCGTTGCGATTCACGTTGGAATTAGTAGCCGCATAGCTTCCCTCGGAAATCGTTACTTTGTTAAGCCTCTAAACCGCGGATTCATGTATAAACTGTAATATTACTCTGAACTGTGCATAATAGTTGGTGCATTCCCTTATACATATTTCCCTTATGTATTAAAAAAAAAAGAAAAAGAACAAAACTGTTGTATGATAACAAAGATTAAGACCTCAGGCAATCTTCGTCAGTCACGTACACTTTTGATTTGTAACTTATAAAGTCGACGCGTAGTATCTGCAGTCGCAACCCCGTTCGATCCCGTCAATGAATTCAGCTTGTTGGTACTTGAAAATTTGGTAAGATCGGAGGAACTGCGTAATTTATTTTATACGAGTAACACGTGGTGGCAACACCAGGAGATGCGTATTGTTTTTAAGCAGCAACGCCGCAACGCGTGACTCTACCTGTCGATCTACTGTACACAAACGTCGTTGAAACATCGATCCTTCATTAATATGTAAGAGATCATAATATGTAAGAGATTTACGCAAGAGCCCTATATACCTTATTATGTCTACGAAAGAAGAATTGAGTTCACATCGAGTGTGTCGTATATTTAATGAGACGAATGTTACAATTTAGACGAGCGAGTCGAGCGGCAGGGCGACGCTGCGACGTCAAGCACAACGATAAGAATGACAGGTCGACGACAGGTCGCAGTGCGACTATCAAGATTCTTTTTATGATGTAAACGTCGCGACGCTACCAATAGCTCATCCACGCACGTTTACCGGCAACCGTCGACTCGGTACTTGTCGTCTCGCAGCTACTTTGTGACGTGATTATATCTGCGCAACGACACACATATACACACACACACTGAATCGACAGTTGTCGGTAGCAGTGCGTACAGAATATCCCTTGGTGTTTTCACGTCAATGAGACCATCGATGAAAATATTGTTGTTGAATACTGAAATAAATTTGGTCATGCATTCTCATGATGTCTCATTGCGTCGGATATTTGATAGCTAACGAAAGAAGGACGTTTTCATGATATACATGCAGGTAGCTTTGCGGAGAATCGGTCTCGCGTCATGTTGTCGTCCAGTCTTGAAAGATTTCGATATCAAATTGTGCGTGTCACGATTATTAATTAATGACCAAATACTTTAACAGATCGAAAGTAATGGTAGATTTACTGAAAACCATGCAACTATCGCGAACATTGCGTGCTTGATGAACTGGGCGAGTTTTTCTTTCTGTAGAACTTGATTCCCAGAGGGACAATATTGATAAATCGTATTAAGAAATATAGAAACGAAAGATACTTGTTATTGATTGTAATCGTTCGTAGAGATGTAGACTAATTATGTTTTTTTTTTCGTTTATCATTTTTTCATTCGACCTGAGTTAAGTTTGTCTACTTTTGAACTGATGATGTTACAAGCTGCACAACAAGTATTCTTCAGATATCATGAATATATGATAGATATCATGTACATTTCACGTTATGTTACACAAAAATCTAACATAAAGATGCATTCGTTGAAAACAACTCATGTTGCTGAAATAAGCCTAAATTCCTACATTGATCATAGTGTAAATTGCTTGTATATAAGAAAGTTCCATGTATAACGTGATATCATGTATTATCGAACTCTCGTATGTTACATATTGAGTTGCAAAAGTCATGCAATGTATAATGTTTTAACTAAGCATAAGTTTAGCAGAAATTGATGACAATACCAATCACACGCTGTTTGCCTCTAAAGCCCACACAAAGGAAAAATGAACGCTGGCATGTAATAAAAACAAAGATATATTGGCAGTTCAATACGTAGATATGTTAAAAAAATAAAAGATCATACAGTCAATTGACTTCTGTGAATTGTATAGGTAAATGTAATTGTAGAAATAATAAACATTAAGTTCAATTATCAGTATCTTTTATTTACTTATTACTTTATATTCTCTCTTTTTCTTATTTTATACTCAAATATGGTGATACTAATTTCACTTATATCATTCATATAATCTGTATAATTACACATACGCACACAATGAAGTAGATTTATTACATTACGTGATTTGTCTAGGTATAATGATGGACGTACCTAGATAGAAATTTGAATATAAAAAAAGAGGAGGTAAATTATAAGATTATAAAAAAACAATAATATAGCACATATTTTCGTAAGTATATAATTTTATGTAATTTCATATACATTCAGTACTCATAAAAATTATCACATAATGAAAGAATTCATATAAGAATGTCCTGTGTATATATACACACGTTTACCAAAATTTTTTAAAAATGATATAAAATTTGATCATACTGATATTACATTTTATATATATTATTTTTTTGGCATATGTCTTAAAATGGCATATGGTCTTTTTTTTCATTCCATTTACGTGAAAATTTTATATCGTACTCTCCATCATGCACGATACTAGCTGCTTGACACTTTACTGTTCTGGATTACTGCCTGAAAATAATTTCCTTCTTATTATTGTTTTCTAACGCATACTCAACATATTATAAAGTAACAATTCCAAAAGCAGCTAGAAAGATTGCTAAATAATAGATTTGCTAAATAATATAGCCGACATTTAATAATAAATATATTACCTTCATTTTAGAGATATCTTGCTCCCAATCTTCAGAACCAATTATCTTTACTGCTTCTCGTAACACCTCCCATACCTTAGCAACATTCTGTTTAAATACAACTATAACATCAGCAGCGTTAACATTATCGTCATTGTCTCTCCAACAATCATAATCCGTTGATACTGCTAGAGCTGCGTACAAAATACCCGCCTCTTTCGCTAAACACACCTAATTCACGACAAAATATATAGACGTTATTTCGAATAATATCGTTGCATTATATTGATGTACATACCTCTGGGCACGTAGTCATGTTGACTAAATGTCCACCCCAAAGACGAAACGCCTTGCTCTCTCCTTTAGAAGAGAAGCGTGGTCCTTCAATAGTTACTATTGTTCCACCTTTCTGCATGTTGTGTCCTAATTTCTTTGCAGCTTGTAACAAGACTTCCGATGTTCGTGGGTCAAAAGCAGGCTCCATTGGCATGTGGCATACTCCTGTAATTTTTATAATAGATAACATATTAATTAGTAATATATATATACATATATATATAAATCTCTCTCTCTCTCTCTCTCTCTTTCTGTATTCTTGTAAATGATAAATTTAAAGAATATATTTACCTTTGTATTTGTCAGAAGTTCCATCGTAGAATGTGCCTTTTCTAGAATTGGTTCTGTCCAGAAAGCTATCAGGTATAACTAATTGTCCCCTGCCAATGGATTCTGTCAACGATCCACATGCTGTAGATGCCAATATATGGGTACATCCAGCAAGTCGCAATGCCTCTATATTAGCACGGTAATTGACCGCAGTAGGACTTATCGTGTGTCCTTTGCCATGCCTGTTAAATCAAGCGAAAGACACATCAGGTGGTTACATACGACTAAACGAAAAATAATAAATTTAGATAGATATGGCAAATCAGGAACGAGCGAATTTTTGGGGGTAATTTCACCTGGATAACAACACTACATCCGTTCCGTTTATTTTTCCATGATAAAGATTACTAGTAGGACGTCCGAATGCATTTTCTACGTCTTCTCGATGTGAGACGCTGCTACGGTCCAATGTTTCTTCCATAAAGTTACCCAAACCTGAACCTCCTATTATTCCTACCTGAGGTATAAACAAATATATTGGTAGAAATACATACCAAATTTTATATTACATAAGATTACTTGTATATATAAATCAGAAGTAATCCTCACCTTGATCTTGTTTGTCATGATGAAAAATTTATTGCGTTCTTAATTTGCAATACAAAATTTTATCCTTCGGACACTTCAAAAATAGTTGAATCGTAGGGAATGGTACAGCAATGCACCACGACAGTCGAACGTGGCCTACCTAACCAATTATGCCAAGATATGTGACAAGAATTTTATCTCTTCACTGCTCTTGTCTAGCCAATGAACGTTAATACTATCACATGTGCTCTCTCTCTCTCTCTCTCTGTTTAGTGCGGCATTGCCACATATATCGTGCACCGTTTAACACATAATAAATAAAATTTGTATGAATAATCAACCAAATTTAATTGAAATTTTACTCGCTTTTGCGTCAATCCAGTCTCGTAAAGAAGCAGTCATTAAAAGGCCAACAAGAGGCTGCATTAAAACTCGTTTTATCGACTGGAGTAAAGTTTAAGTTTGACAACAGCGCGAAAACGCAAGTTCAGATCATTCGTCGCTCATTAAAACGTTTGTTAGCGTCTACCAGCGAATTTTTCATCTTTCTTCAGCTCTATTAGCGAAAGTTACAGCAATGAAATTGCCAAAATAACTGACAAATATAATCCAAAGAGAATTGTGAGTGAAGAGACAGAAATTCTCGAGGTCAACTCTTGCTGTCACATTTACGCAATTGGAGAACAAAATCTTGATTCCCCTTATAGTTACTCCTATGTGAGAGCAACAGAGAGTTAATAACGTGCTTCGTAACTTATAAAATATTATAAAGCGTCGAATAAACCGTATCCGTACGGCACATCCAGAAGAATTTATTCTCTAAATTGTAAGTGCTGCCGCAATTGAAGTCACTATGAAGCAGCTCTCGCTATTGGACGCAATTTTAGTACACTCTAATGCCGCCCTGGAATCCTCCGTTGTCGGCGTTGCGGTCGTTTTTCAAATAGTGCCTCGAAATCGAGACGATTGGGAGCATTCGAATAGCATTTGTCGCGCGAGTGAGTCCACCCGCGTGCGAATGTCAATTTGTAACAGAATTAATTGTAGAACGAACTTCGTACTTCGTTGCGTAAAAGGATTGTTGTGTAAAGTGTGAAATAACGACCGGAAGGATGCTGAGGAACAAAGATCAGCATGTCAACGTCTTCGTGCGTGTTAAGTAAGTCAGCCACCTGCGATTCGTTAACGCGAATACCAAATAGATATAGTTTGTGCGCGTATAAACTTTTATTTATTAAAAAATAATTATCGTAGAATTGAATATCCGTCCCGATGAAACGACTGATTTCTCGTGTAATAATTCTTATTAATTCGATCCCGCCGTCCGTTACGAGGAAAGACCGAGTTTAGTGTGAAGGTCGCGCTTGTCTTTCTTTTTCCGCACTGTTGTGATTTTTTTTACCTGTCCTGAGAATGTTTGATTACAATTTGCCGAAAGGAAGTTGATACATTGAACAATCTTGTGAAACGTATTCTTATTATGGATAGACTTGATGGAAATTTGATTTAGTGACTTAAGCGGCATAAATATCTTCGAAATATCTTAGCAACGTCTAAGGAATATATTACTTGTTAATCGACTTGTTAATCCTCGAACGGCAAGGTAGGGTCAAATTGACCCCCTGGTTTATCTTACAACGTGCACACACTGTTTCTCTTAAAGAATGTTTCATGTTAATATTTACTTCTTTTATCCATTTTACACATTGATTATATGGAAAATAAAGCAGAGCACGAGGTCGGATACAGGACTATTTTCCTGGATACATCGAAAATGCACCTTGCTATTAAAGAGTTAAATGTCTCTTAAATATCTCCGAGACGTATTTCAAGCACATTCGTGCTGTCTGGAATTTAAAACTTGAATCTTAATTTAAACATCGGAAATTGAATTGGCACATAATACTTTACGCATTGACGGTGCATAAATATGATAACGATAATCGTGTGACGACAATAGATAATTATGCGCATCTAACGATGTTTTTTATTTTTCTTCTTTCATTTGACATTTCGCAATATATCAACAGGCCTCTGAACAAGAAGGAGACACTGGAGAAAAATGGTGAGAGACCAGTAGTTCCAGTGGTGCAGGTGGCATCCGAGAAGGAGATAATAGTTTACGAGCGATCGCAGGAGAAAATTGCGAAGAAGTTCACGTTCGATAAGGTGTTCGGCCCGGCGTCCACCCAACTGGACGTGTACAACGTGGTGATTCGGCCGTTGTTGAAGGAAGTCTTGGCCGGATACAGCTGCACCGTCTTCGCCTATGGCCAGACCGGCACCGGCAAGACGTATACGATGGAGGGCGGCCGCGTAGAGGACTCAGGTTTGCACTGGCAGAGCAACACGACCGCCGGCATGATACCCCGTTGCCTGAGCCACCTGTTCGACGAGCTCCAGCAGCTGGAGAGCCAGCAGTACGTCGTCAAGATCAACTTCCTGGAGTTGTACAACGAGGAACTGTTCGACCTCCTGGGCCCCGGCGGTCACGACGCAACGAAGATCAAGCTGTACGAGGACACGTCGAAGAAGGGCTCGGTCATCATACACGGCCTGGAGGAGGTGACCGTGCACAACAAGACGGAGGTTTACAGGATCCTGGAGAAGGGCTCGGAGAGGAGGCAAACCGCGACGACGTTGATGAATTCCAACTCGAGTCGTTCGCACACGGTGTTCACCATAACGATACACATGAAGGAGGAGACCTCGGAGGGGGAGGAGCTGCTGAAGACGGCGAAGCTGAACCTGGTGGACCTGGCCGGTAGCGAGAACGTCAGCAAGTCCGGAGCCGTTGACAAGAGAGCGAGGGAGACCAGGAATATCAATCAGTCCCTGCTGACTCTTGGTAGAGTGATTACCGCGCTCGTGGAGAGGGCGCCCCACATACCCTACCGGGAGTCGAAGCTCACGAGATTGCTGCAGGAGTCACTGGGCGGGCGCACCAAAACCTCGATAATCGCGACCATTTCGTCCGCAAGTGGCAACGTCGACGAGACACTGTCGACGTTGGATTACGCCTACCGGGCGAAGCATATCACCAATCGACCGGAGATCAATCAGAGGCTCTTCAAGAGAGCGCTGCTGAAGGAATACACGGAGGAGCTCGAGAGACTCAGGAAAGACCTGACAGCAACGCGCGATAAAAATGGCATCTACCTGTCGCAGGCCAAGTACGACTCTATGCACGCGCTGATCGACTGGCAGAAGAAGAAGATACAGGATCAGGTCAACGATTTCAAAGCTTTAGAGGAGACTATAGAGAGCAAGCAGGTGTGATACTTCAAGATGTATATTCCGAGGAGCCTTCTATAGTTTGAAAAACCGCATTTTCCCATTTTCTACGGCGAGAAACCGTGGAAAAAAATGGAGGAATCATTTCCTTCACGGTTCTTCGCAGAAAAACCGAATGAATTGCGGGAAACCTGGAAAAACCATTTTTCTCTTGAATCTTTAAAACTATAGAGCCTTCCGGGTACAGAAAAAAGATTCTCCAGGGTCGATTATTTGGAAAAACCCGGAAAATTTTATTCGGATTATGTATTGCATAATTTTTTTCGCTAGTAACTTTTGAAAATGAAACAGAACATTCTATGCAATGTAAAATATTTATTTTTAGAATATTTACAGTTTTTTTCAAGATTTTCCAAATTTGATCATAGAAATTCGAGCGATTTTTAATTTTATTCTATGATTTATAAACTTTCATGTATGAGAAGTTTTAAAGATTTTACGCAAAAAATGTATTCATTTACAAGATACATTTAAAAATACTTTAATTTTACCTAGAATTTTTAACAATTGCCTGAGAAATCAGGGAATTCTCAGGAAATTTACTTTTAAGTTTGAGTAGATACTTTGCAATTGAATTTGTTCATCTTCCTCGAGAACAATTATATTTCTCTGTAAATTTTACCCGTCTCTAGCACAGGAAAGTTTTTTCGGACACACTTTCGCAAAATATGCGAGCTTGAAACTTGAAGTTTGAAGTATTTCAAGATGGTTTATTGCTACATTTATTATGCTCTCTGATTGCAGAAAATGTTTAACGATGTACGGTCGCAGTGTGATGTTCAACTGGACGAACTGACGAAGAAAATGAAAGAATTGAACGACTTAAGGCATTCTTTGCAATCGTTGCAAGACATTTTGAAGAAAACGGAAATTAGCAAGGACGAACAGAAACATCTGATGGAAACACATGTCGCTACCGAGCAGACTTTACGCAGTCAAGCGGAAACTCTCTTAAGCGTGGTGATCGAAGCATCGGAGGATACGCAAAAATTGCATGAAAAACTTGATCGTATAGCGTAGGTTGATATTGAATAATAATAATAATAAAAAAGTTCTATTTTAATACTCCGCAAACATGTATAGCTATTCTTCGATCTTATGACCCAAATTCAATGTTTCCCAAGGTTATCGATTAAAATTTGTTAACGAGATTGATGTGTGCCGATACAGAAAAGTAGAAGAGGAAAATGAAAAGTTTGGATCGCAAATGAAGAGTGATTTTGCAGAGCGGGGTAAGAGTATCGAGGACAATCTAGCGGCTCACGCAAAAGAGATCGGACAATTTTTCTTGTCGGCAAAGGATGAAGTAGGTAAGGGTGAGAATTTGTTTATGAACAATCGAATACTTTCGACAGATGCTGCATATAACAGAGAAATGTATCTATTGAAATATGTTTTTGATAGAAAGTCATATAGCCGCACAAATTAAAAGTATCAAGGAATTGGTTCCTTCTATGTTGAAAGATCTAATTATTCATCATTTGAGTATGACCGAACAATTGACGGAGGATACAGCAACTACGGTAAATTCTTGACGCGACGAGACTTTCGTTAACGCTCCTCGTAATTCGCAATTGATCGTTTCGTAAATATTTTAGTACGAGCGCTATAACAGTTTAGCAGATAAGAACATCCAAGATACGTCGGCTATAATTGAGTACGAGAAAAATTTGTTAACCGCCATTTGCTCGAGACTGGCGCCAGATATTCACAATCTCTTAAAGGGCAACGGAAGTGTCGCTGAGAACTTACAGACTTTAAATAACGATATTTCTCGGAAATTGGAGGATGTGTCGGCATATGCGAGAGACGTTGTGGAAGCCGCTTGTAAATATCGTCTCAAGGAGTGCAACAGCTTCCGTGAAAATTTAAGCGAAATTAACGAACATATTAACTGTATGTTTCTAAACCAAAAACAGATAGTCAAGGATTACAAAGTGTTTGGAAAGGTATATCACACGCGTCTCTTATCTCCGACGACATATTTTAACACATCTATCATCGTATAGCAAATTTTATACAGTCGTCATCATAGCGTTACGACACGACGTATTTGTTCCCGCAGAAAATGGTGGATCTCTCGCACGATTTTATGCACTTGGACAAATGTGAGAAAAATTATGCCGAAAATATTAACAGGTCGCATCACATTGATAAAATTTGTAGCAACATATGCGATCAAGCTGCGCATAATTGTAACGCGGATATAAATGCACGGAATAACTTGGAGAAATTTGTACAGACCAACGTATCTCAAATTAGGAGCAACATCGACAACAGTTTGAAGGAGGTAATGCGAATTGTCATGTAAAATGTGTTAACGAAACACTCGAGACAAAACTGATCTAACGACTGTAATCTAATAATTTTTTAATTATTAAAATAGGCCGAGACATCTGATAAAGCTATTATGGAAAGAGGAACTGCACTAATCAATAACTTGGAGCAAAACTTAAGTACCGGTAGCGCCACATTGAAGCAGTACAGCAGTAATGTAAAATCCAACGTGCAGCAATTGCAAAAGGAAATAATCGAGGATAAAAACAGAACAATTGCCACAACTGACGTATGCGAGGCACTAGATGCGCAATTAATTTGATTTCTCACACTACTACAAATATATTTTTTATATAACATTTTGTTAATACTTTGTTTTTTGTAGATGATCTTCAAGACGGTGGAAGATGTGAATTTCGCTCACAGTGAATTTATGACGAAGCAACACACCAAGATTTCAGATTTCACCACGGTAATAGGCAATAAATTAATGGTACAGGACACAGAATTAATCAATTGGAGTAATAAGATGGTTAAAGATTTGCGTACATCGCAACAGCAGATCGACGAATTATTCACCAAAAACCAATGCCTCGACGTTGAAACAGGTTTATTTCATTTATCATTTTAATCTGGTCAACTAAATGTGTGAATTTACAATAATATCAAGTATTTCTTCCATACGAAAAGGCTCGACCCCATCGAGAAAAGAATTTTCATACCCTCGTGAACTTGCAACGACATTGCCGCATGACCAACTTATTCAGAAATTTCGAGAATGCAAAAAAAGCATAGAAGAAGCGGATGATTCTGTAAGAAATTGGCGTGTTCTAATTGAGAAGTAAAATTTTATAAAACATTACAAATGTATAAATGCAAGCCCGTGTTCTACAGGATTCAATATTAACGAAGAAATCTACGTCAGAGAGAGAAAAGCCGTTATCTGTGTCAGATATACCAATAAGTAACAAAATCACACCGTACAAGAAGAACAAGTACTCCTTACCGCTCTCTACGTCCACACCGCATATCAATTCGAACATTAAGCAATCAAGTACGAAAGATATTTTTGATTCTTTCAAGAAATCCGTATTGGATTTCTCCAGAATCTCGATATCTTCTCCTCAGTCTGAAACAGAAATTTACACGGAGGTATGTATATCATTTCTTGCGCATAAACATCAAGATGGGCTTTATTTTAACACCAATTAATTTTGTAAGAGCATACACATATAAAAATACCGTAGAAGCAATATTTGCTCTGCTTGCTATACTTTGATTTAATCGGAGAAAAAATCTTTCTCAGGATAATAAGGAGAATGTCAAGTCTGCAAAATCAAGGAAACTAAAACTCAAGAAATCATTCATCGGGAGAAGAATAAAGCGCTAGCAACTTGCTGACTTGAAGAATGTAATTAAATTTGTTGATATATACTGCGAATTTTATCGTAATTTTATATATAATCAAGCACTAATTCTTGTACAAGAAATTCCTTGTTTGTAAATTTTTATATAATTATGTAGATATATCCACCTAGAGAAGTGTGCAGAACTGTATATAGCTTTCTTAAATTTACATATATTAAATGTTTTAAATTTACATATATATTCAATGTGCTTTTAATATAAACGACGGGACGCACATGAGTTGTTCGACGCGATTTAGCAGTGAAACAAGTTGTTAACAAGCTTGTTGAGTGTTTGTGTGAATTAATTGTATCACCGAGAGCTTCATTTCAGAATACTGTATTTCTATACAATTGTTTTAATCTTCAGTATAAAGTTTCTCATGTAAGGACAAAGTGGTGTGCACACAATCGCTGGAAAATAAAAGAAAACTTTTCGTTTACGATGGCTTATGAAGTACGTATTTAGTGCGCTTAATTACTAAGTTTGATATCGAGATGTACAATCCACTAACACTTGGATTCGATAATGAAGATCCTAAGTATATATATATATATATATATATATATATATATATATATAAATATATGTATATAGAGGACAACTTACGAGTATAATGCGATAATATACAAAGCACAGAATAATCGTACATATTCAGAATCGATGAGAATGGATGTAAGAATTTCAAAATTCCGGCGAGAAATGTGTACATGTGTGTGTGTGTGTGTGTGTGTGTGTGGGTGTGTGTGGGTGGTAGAGCCAGTTTCACGTATAAAATGAGATTAAATAATATTCAATAGTAATACTTGTACAGCTTACTACTAAACTATCGCTTGATTCAAGATAGATCCTTGTCGAAAAGCGAATATTATTAAGGTTAAATCAATACTGTTCGCTTGAAGAGTACGAGCGATATGTATATTCGTGAAATTGGCTCCTCACTTCCGTGTTACGTGATTCTACATAAATAAATAACGCACATATTATATCTTCCCCTACTATTAATTAATTAATCAACAATGATCGAGTCATTATTTAGAAGCATTATGTCGTACGTAGAAAAATATCTTTGTCATCTAGAAACAATATACGCACTTGATGGCACAATTAACGGAGTACAGAAACGAGAAATGTCGGAATATCAAATCAACGGAGGGGGGAGGGGGAGGGGGGCTCTCGAAGCTGGCAAAAACTGCGGCGACGTCGCGAATAACTTACAAATAAGAGAGAGAGAGAGAGAGAGAGAGAGAGAGAAGAGTGAAATTTTCGCACACGTTGACGAGAAGCGTTACTCGCACTGCGTCCAGAGCCGAAGTCACTCATCGCCGAAGAAGAATCCGCGTCGTGAGCGTCACTACATTTTACAAGATGAATCATTTTTGGCAGCGGCCTCCTGTTTCCCAAACACACACCGCCGATTTGCATGCGTACCGTTTTGCCTCGCGATACTTCTCTACTCGTGCATGCGTGCAGCATAGTGTACTACGTATCATCAAGCGCGTCAAGGTACTACAACGTTCCGTCAATAAATAAATGTCTTAGATGTATATTCGAGCGTATGCGAGATAAGCTAGAGATTGTTCACTGATATGATCTGATTTATCCAGCCGATGTACGAGGAGACCTTCACGTACACGCCGGGAACGTTTTGCCGGCCGCAACCGAAGCCCCAGGATACTAGTCCAGCCAATTCGTAGAAGCCATCATCTTGGCACACCAAGGGACCTCCACCGTCGCCCTAAACACAAGACGTCTCAGTACGGTATCTCGTTAGACAAAACATTATTGTGAAAGGTATTAAGTACAGCAACACATTTGATACTAGTGATTTATATGTGAGTCATAATTTCTCTTTACATGTCTATGTAAACAAACGAAAGCCCGTATTAATCCACACAGCATACTTTATCCGAGAGACGTCCTGGGAACGTCTTTAAGACGTAGGACATTCCTTGGAGGTCTTTGCTGTATGGGAATAGTCGTTACTTGAAACTTGTCTCAAGTGAGATACTAAGGTTCGTATTAATAGTCATTACTCGATGCTCGTGAAATACTCTGGTTAAAATTTAAAGTTACATCCAAGTTTTTTCAGCTCAATCATATCATATACGTGACGTTATGCCTGCAATTGCAATTCAACTGGAAATCTCGCATCTAATTCTAGATTTAAATGCGAATATCTCACCTGAGACAAATTTCAAAGGTAATTACTAATATTACGGATTTAAGATTGTAAAATTCAGATCTAACTCTGAATTCCAATCTGAATATATCTTGCCTGGGGCAAGTTTCAAATAACGACTATTAATATAAGCCCAAGTCTCTCTTTATAATTATATAAAAAAAAGATAAGCAGGAAGAATTTCTCAAAACCTTAGTGAACATGTTTAAGGCAAATATCAATAATACAGATAATTTATCAGACGCTTGAAATCCTGAAGGCAATATGGACAAGTGAGCATACCTGACACGCGTCGTTCCCTTGTTCCCCGCCGGCGCAGAAACTGCTGGCTGGCAGAATGAAGATCTTCTCGGTCACGGCGTTCACTTTCCTGATGCACTCAGCGTCACTGACGATCGGTATCTCCGCCTCGCGTACTCGAAGAGGTATAGGGCCAGCTATGAAACATCGACAAATGTTTCGATGAGGTATCGATTGCTAAGTCTGTCTCTTCCGTGTTGGAGCCGCCTTTCTAGTGGAGTTGTTTGCAATGTTTTGTGAATATTCATCAGTTCACTTTAATGGGGGTTTTCTTTATAAAGGTATTTTAAGGTATTTAAAGAGATATTCCCTTATTAACGTATTTAAAGTATTTAAAGGAATTTTTCTCATAAGAAAGGTATTCCCTTATAGAAGTATTTTAAATATTTAAGAAGGTATTCCCTTAAGTATTTAAGGTATTTAAAAGATTATTCCATCATAAAGAGCTATTCTCCTTGAAAAATATATTTAAGATATTTAAAGAGATATTCCTCTTGTAAGATAATCCTCCTGTAAAAGTAAATATATCCACATTTTTCGATTGGTCAACTATTCTACTCATTTATGAAGGAATGCCTACTGAGAAGCACTGTGATATCAGGTTGCTCTTCTCTCTGATGAAGTGAACTGAAATGTTCACAAAACGTTTGAAAGAAAACCGGCTCCAATCCGGAAGCCAGACCTAGCATTTCTCCACATTACGACAGATTCAGATATCAAGATATGTATTATTGCATAACGTAGGCCAGTAAGCAAGAAACATTAAATCAATCTCTTGAGGGATTGATTTTATGTGTATTTTATAAACATTTTGACATAATACTTTATAAATGATTTTATATATAAACTGCTGCTAGATAATATAATATTCCTAAAATTAAGAAATCTTAGTGTAAAAATATTATTTTCAATGTTTGGGTCAAATATCGTTAATGATGATGTATGCAACATTAAAAACTACATATTTAGGAACGTTATAAAATATCATCGTAATAACGTTGTGTTGTGATTTCTTGCTTACTGAGATGATGCTATTCTTTGGCGAGAAAAATATGATTCAGGTTGACACGATACCTTCTCCCATGTATCCATAGCCGGTGACCGTGCACCTTTTGCCAGCCGTGTGACTGACACCGCGCGCCGGCAAGCAGACCAAACAAACTCCGTCCTTCAGCTCCGCCTGGCCGTGAAGCTTCAGCAACGCTATATCGTTGTCGAGCGTCTGGCTGTTGTGATTGTGGTGGATGTACGTCGTTGCGACACGCAGCGTCTGAGCACCGGGGCTTCCGTATTTACGGGTGAGGTCGTGATCGCCCACCCTCACGTAGATCGCGTCGCCGGACCTGACGATGCTGCAAACAGAAACGCTTTTTCACACTTGAGGATATTTCAAGTTCTCGCGATGTGGAGAAATCTGGCTTTCGGGTTGAAGCCGAATAAAAAAAAAAGGGCCAACGAAGTATCAAATATCGTTTTAAGGAGACATCCTTCTATTCAGAGTATCAGGTTGTAGCTCTCTTCCTGATGGGCCGAAATGTTCACGAAACGTTGGAAACGGATGAACGAAAGACCTGGTTTAGCCCAAAGCCCAAGTTTCTAGCTTGTCCATCCCTTCCTCAGTTTGTCGATTCGTTCGTAACGCGTGAGAAAAATAATTCCGCTTATAACGAGCGCGTTTCACCTACTTTGTGACGCAGTGCGCCGCGGTGAGCACCCATTGCGTTCCAATCAGCGCGCCTCCGCACAGGTATTGGTTGAGGGAGTTGATCAAGGCGACCTGCCAGCACCACTCGTTGGCGTCCGCGTCTTCGCCTCCTACCACGCGTGCGATCCTCTTGGAACTTCGGGCCTGAATCGGCCCGCGAGATGTGCCCTTCACGCCGCAAACATACTTACTGTACACGGGACTTCTAGTGGTGGTGGCGACCGTTGTGGTTTCGTCTGTGAAGTTAACGACTTGACTGACGTTCGGGGCTGCTAAGCGTGAGGAAATGTCGAATTTGACGCTTCCTGGTGGAGCCCTACGTTTCTGGTGAATTTATTCCCAACGGTCTCAGCATTTCAAACTGTATCAGGTTGCTCCTGTTACTGATGAAGCGAACTGAGATGTTCGCGAAACGTTGGGAACAAGTCCACCAAGTACGTCCTTGTTGAAAATGTCCAGGTGGATTCCCACGGAAATTCAAGGGAATTCATGTGAATCTATGTAGGATATTATAAAAATCCATATAGGAATTCACAGGGTTCCTATATAAATCTTCACGAACCATGCGGATTCCTGTATAGATTTCCACACACCATGTGGATGTCCTGTTTCGATTTTTATTATTATTTTATTATATGGATTCACTTGAGTTCCTATGGATTTCCGTCGGAATAAATCTGGAAATTTCCAACAGAGGTACACACAAATAACTAAGAAGTATTGTTATCAGTTTCTATTTGGAACGTGTGATATACAAACAATATTTTCTTAGTATATACTATTTATATGAGTGAGGTATTTGACTTATTATATCGCATTGATTGGAAATCAATCAGAAGCTTTATCTACAGATTTTTAAATGTGTGATATTTTGAGATATTCGACTACTCATGAATACCTTCGATACTAGGATTCTATGGTCTGTAATTTTCTGAGTTATTGTTGACTTATTCACAACTTTTGTCTAAGACCGGCTATCTTTTTCCAAGTCGGTGAAATTACTTACAGATCGACGTGGTGAGCGGGGTGGTGTAAGGCCTGGGTGTGACGTGGAACGTGTCGTTTCTGTTCGTCAGAAGCGGCTCCGTGGCGTTTCTTATCAGAGACTTCAGAGCGCAACACCCGTGTCCCTGCTTCTTGCACTTGAACAAGCTCGTCAGCTCGGCGTTTCCTGCGAATGAATAAGCATGAGGTAAGGCATTGTCCCCGATAGTGACATTTCCTCGTGCGTACTTACTGAAACAAGTGAACGACAAGTAGGACACGATGCAGGAACCAGGACATTCCGGACGTGGGTCCGGCGGTAACGACACGGTCGTCGGCAGGGTAGGTCTCGGCCTTGGTCTCGGTGACTGTAAATGAAGGACAGGTTACAAAGAAATTAGCATTGTGAACAAAATTGGTGCATTTTATTGTTACAAGCGCAACTTGAAGGACGACAAACTGAAAAGAAAGAGTCCTCAAATGTTATTATATGCGAATTTTAAAGTAAAAACTACTATAATATTTTATATCATATAATATTCTAAATTTTAGTAAATTTTTACTTAAGAAATTTACTAAAATTTTCTAGTAAAATTTTTTTACTAGGAAAATTTATTGATTAAATTTTTTGCTTGAATTTTGTGCAGAAAAATTTACTAAAATTTTATAGTAAAATTTTTATAGTAAAAATTGCTATAAAAATTTTATAATAAAAATTATTATAAAATTCTGTAGCCCAGGGAAGAGTATCGACATTCTGCTTTGATTTATTATCTATATTTTATGCGCGCTACTGATATTTTAGGAATTAAAGCCTGTTCTACTAAAATACATTTTTTGTTCCTTAACAATATAAATTGTAGCGACTGTTCTAAAATTATTAGAAAACATAGTAAAATTGAAAAGAATCTCTACGAAGAAAAAAGCTACAATAGCCTCTTCCACGTCTATATACTCTTGTAACGTTCTTTATTTTATGCTTATAGACAGAGACACAATAACATGCCATAACTTACCTGAAGACTCTTCGTATTATCGCAACAGTAAGATCCCGGACAGGTCGACGTTTTCACTATGATTACGTTCGGCCGCTCACAGAATGCTGCCATGATGGTCAGCAGGCAGAAACCAGGGCACGGCGGTAGCTGAGGAGCCTTCGTAGACGGCCGGACCGTCGTCGTAGTCGTCGTCGGTACCTCCTGAAGCAGATTGGTACTCACGTCTTATACTGCTTTATGAGTTTTAACTTTTTGTTTCTCGGTTTTTTATTTTGAAAATTTAACGCTGTTTTAATCTAGGAATATCAGATCAATGTAAATAGTATTCCAAAAGTTTCATTTGAAATGCGTGTTTAGCAGGAAGAAAGTTAGAAAAATGTGTCGAATGACAAATTCGACAATTTATGAAGAAACGAAAATTTTCTCCAAGATAAGTAAATTATCACCGAATAGCTCCAGAGGCGCTTTATCAAACGACGTAGATAGAGAGAAATCAATCGAGCTGTATCCTCAAGAATATGCCAGGATTCAGAGGATCGAACAATTCTCAAGTAACTTTGCAATATTTGTAACTGACGTTCCGTTAAGGAAATACGGAGTATAGAATATGGCAAATATGGCGTTATAAATACACTACCGTTTTCGCAGGTAGCTGTTCGTTGATGCAGCAAACAGTGAAGAGGGAGTCGTCGGTCGGACAGTCGGCGTCACTGTCGACGCTCTCGCAGAAGAGCGCAGGCAGACCGCTCGTGCACTTCCCTCCGCAAGGTTTCAGCAGCACCGGCTTCGGTCTCGTCGTTGTCGTCGTCGTCGTCGATGGTGGCGGGGGCGGTTGTCTGGTAACCATCGTCGTGGTTGTCGTCGTCGTCGTGATGAACGTCGTGGAGGCGTTCGTCGTGGAGGTGTTCGGCCGTGTCGTCATCGGCGTGGTCTTGCTGAACGCATCGCTGCTGTGCTTCTCGTCGTTGTGAGAGGAATTCTCGTTCGATCTCGTGCGGTCGATCACCAGGAGCTCAGGCGGCGGCGAGTCGCCGAAGGCGTCCCGGGACACGCAGCACTTAAAGCCCGACTTGCACAGGGTGTCTATCACCAGCACGGCGTCGCAATAATTGGCGATCCTCTCGCTCATGCAGATCCCCGAACACGTTTTCGCTGAAGTTAAAACGAACGTCATTTTCTGCTTCAATACGTAAACATAAATAGAAGAAATTTCAATTCAAGAAGGATACAATTTATGGTACGAAATTTGTTGACCAGTTTATCGACGAAATTTATAGCAAACATAAAAAGAGAAAGAGAGAGAGAGAGAGAAAGAGAAATTACATTAAAGAAATATACTTTACGCAAAATATTTACGTACTGAGCGACTTATCGGTGGTCTCGTTATGGCTTCCCTGCAAAACGTAGAGAACACATAAGATATAATATTTTTGATAGCGCGCTATGACGTGAAAAGCACGATTCAGACGAGGAGGAAATAATTACGATTTTTTCTAGCAATCATTACAATTGCAATTGAAACGCAGTGTGCAATTTAATAAAAAGAAATTCAAAGGTTCCAAAATATTCAAACAATAGTTAAGTGGAAAAACTATTGCGAGCCAATACACGGTACTTGAATTGTGGCAGTGGTTTTTAGAGATTGCCACGACGTGTTATCTGCAAACTTCACAACAATAATCAACGACATTTTTTATTTAAACTTTTTTTCATTCCTATTTATATATTTTGATTTTATACTTAGTTATTTCAATTAGTATTATAAGCATAATCAAGTATTTACAAAGCTCTTATCAATTTTCACTTTTTAGCTGTGCAGCACATAAACAATATTTTCTTACTGTAGTATCTTGAAAAGATATTCAACCTTATTATATTAGCGATTAAAGGATAAAAGCTTTGCCTATAAATATCTTTAAACATTTTTTATTTTAAAATATAAAATATATTTAATTATTTATGGGCATATCATCACCTCATATTATAATATTATATTACAAAGGTATCATATTTCAGTACAATATAATTATATGTTTACTTTCTTCATAGCGACCATTGAAAAGAGCCTGAATTATCGGCTGAGACTTACGTTTGAAAACTTGATCGCTGTACTTGTCGTGTTAAAGTGACTATTAAATATTTCTGCTTGGTTCACGCACGAAATATCGGTGTATCGGCTCGCACGATTAGGCGATCATTTTAATGGCTTATCAAACACGACGTATCAACGACGCGATATGTCTTTACTGTCCGGCAATAACTTTCTCGAGCAGTATTCGACATGTCAACCTAGTTTATTTTCTCGAACGCCAAGTTTGCCGGACGTACCGGTGTGGTTTTTGCTGAAACAGAGGAAGTTGACTGAGTGCTGAGCGTCGTGACGGTTGTCGCGGGTGTCGTCGTAGAAATCGTGGTCGTCTTGACCGTCGTCGTGGACACGGTAGAGGTCGGCTCCTCGTCATCGATGGCGTTCTCGGAGGACGAGCCGGTGCCGTTCACCGCGTCGTGAAGACAACATCGCATACTGGCCGTGGGACACTGCACGTCTTCCAGGACGTCATCGCACATCAACGTCGCCAGCGCGTGCACGCATACTCCCGGGCAGTCGTCGATCTTCGCTGTGTTCGTCAAGGAATGCAGGAAACCTGCGTACCCATAAACCAGAAGCGAGAATCTTACAACCTGTTCGGCATTATTTCATTTTTAAGCTCGATTAAGATTAGTCAATAGGTATATAATTAACTTAATAGTCAATAGGCGATTGAAATAATCGCCACTTGAAACCTGTCCCATATGAGAAACTCGGATTTTAATCCAGAGATCTCCCTGAGTTTCTCAATTGAATTGTATAATACATCTGATATTACGGCACATATATTGATAGTCGTTACTTGAAACGTTACCCCCACTGAGACACTCGGATCTGAATTTAAAGTTACATTTGAGTTCTTTAATTGAACCATATAATATATGTGACGTTAGATTTATAATTGTGATTCAGCTGAGGACTCACATCTAGCTCTAAATCAAATCTTATTATCACTTGAGGCGAGTTTCAAGTAACAACTGTTAATATGGGTCTATGTATCTGTAAAGAAATCATGTTTCAACTAATGATGTCAGAATCAAGATACGGCTCAGTGGTTGAGGGAACTAGAAGGTGCACGCACAGAGGGTCACATACGTGTTGCATATATGTTTCGGCTGTTTTCGTTTGTACGCGCACATATACGTGACTCCTCTGTCTGTCCCCTCTGTCTTACGATAAAGCTGCATCTGCATTTTGGCATCATTCGTTTCTCTAGAAACTAGAAAAAAACACCTAACTCTGAGAATGAAGAAATCTGAGTGTCTTATTTGAGTTTCAAACTAATAAGTAAGTATCATCAACATTACGTTAGTACAATGATACTACAATTTGATAACGTGTAACGTTTTCAAATCATTCTTAATGTTGTATACAACGTCAGTGTTAACAATATTTGGCCCAAACGTTAAAAGTAATATTTCTACATTGTGATTTCAATGTCTAGAAATATTACGTTATCGAGTAACAATTTAAAAACATTTATATGATATTGTGTCAAAATATTCACAAAATTCATGTGAAATCGATGTTTCCAAAAATTGACTTATTGTTTCCTGCTTATTGAAAGTGACAAAATTATTCATCCGGATCTTAGGTGAGCAGCTCGCGCTTGACTCGCTCGCTTTTATCTTTATTAACATGGAATTCATTCCCTTTAATACACACAAATTCGGTTTGAACATAGCGCATAAACGATAAACGAACAATAAACAAACGTGTTTACGTTTACAGGTTCATTGTTGAAAGAAGGAGGACGCATGGGCGAGCAGCAGCAGCGCTCGGTATTGTAACGGTGCCAAATCCTACATCGGCTATACCCGGTTCGAGTTTCTTGAGCGAGGAAGAAAGAAAGAAAGAAAGAGAGTTTAATCGATTCGAGTCTGCCGGCGGTGGCGCGGAATAATAAATCCGGCGTTTCGATTATCTCACGCCGCGACAACGGGTTTCGACAAAGAGAAAGAGAGAGGGAAGTTATCTTCTTACGAAACTTACAACAGTATTACGACGCTGCGGCATCGTTTAATCCGTCGTTAATTGTAACTGTATATCTATTTACAGGTGCGTGGGCACCGTCGGCGAGTAGCGGCTGGAATTCTTGCATACGTAATTTTACGAAGTGGTCAAGGATGACCGAACTTGATCAGCTTGACAGCTTTAGGAAAGGAAGTTAACGACCGCCGAGGGGAACTTTCTGTTCTCGGACCCGAGTCCAGCCGAGAGCCGGAGGATTGTTTACGTCAAATTATACCCGCGCAGAGTTACGCGAAGAAACCTGCGTCCGCCATCTCCGGAAGACGGTTTCGATCTCCTTAATTATAACACGATCCGTGTTATGGATTAAAACGATCGTAAGGTGTACCGGTACGTTGAGGAACACACGATCCTGAAGAATCTCAGAACAACGTGGACGATTATGTAATTTTCATTCTTTCTTCGGCACCGATGAAGTCATATCCTTCTCTTGAACGTATATCCTGCCCGTTGAGTCCTGAAGTCGACATCCGTCTGAAGCGCGTCAGACTGGCCTGAAATTACACCCGTTCAAATGCCCGACGTCTCTAAATCGGATCACCTTACAATTACGTCGATGTTTTTGCCTGTTTCGTCGTCAACACCGTTTTCAAGTTAATAGATTTCAAGTCTCCCGTGTATCTCTTCACACGTTTGCTGCCAAGCACGAGTTATCTCGTAGCTGTCGCGCGAAAAGAATTCCCTTTACCATACGCCAACTACAATGAAAGAAGAAGGTGCTACGTTCAGGTAAATATTTGCTAAGGAGTATCGGAGTAATTATCTCACTTGGATTAAGTGAATATTATTTGAATGTAACCTTTTTCTTTTCAGTGTCTTACATTCAAGTAATATTTATTTAACTCAAGTCAAATAATTACTCTAATATTCTTTAATAAATACCCGGGCAGCACAAAAGACGTCATGAAGATGTCTTAAAAAGTCTTTAGACTCTTTCAGACGTTTTTCGAATTTTTTTATGCTGGATATTTACTCAGATGTAGCACTTTTTTTCTTTCACTGCATGAGTTTACTGGCATGGATTTTTCCTTGTGAGTTTTGCCAAATAATATGATCAAATTAATTAGCAAGTTACAGTAACATGCTGATCTCTTTTCAAAAAAATCAGGTGGAAATCCACTTGGAATCCCACGGTTGCTCCTGATGATTTATGCCAAAAATCCAGGTGGTAAATAGGAATTCAGGTGAATTCCTATATGAATTTTCACAAACCATGCGGATTTCTATGTGGATTTCCGCATGACGATCACGTTTCATCACAATGCGATTGCCATATCTATAACTTCAACCTAATACTATTTTAAAGATCATTACGTGATCAACACAAGATGTACACAAATGATATACAAATATGCGTGCGCGTTTTTGACTTGATTTCGATTAAAGCTATTGGACAAGATTTCCCTCTGAAATCATGAAGACATGAACATGACATCCGAGCAGCATATATGCGCACGCATTTGTACGCATTTTTGAGACGTCATGTTACGTCAGTGTATGAACGCGTGCTGAGCGCAACGTGACATCATTTTGTTATCCGGCATGTTTACTGTAATTTTGCGATCGCGTGGGGAACAAAGCTGCCTACCGTCGACGTCAGACGCGGTCAACGTGCCTTGAATCTGTTTCAGCCAGTGATGCCAGAATCAAGATGTGGCTCAATGGATAAGGAAATGGAGGGGGTACGCTCACTCAGAGGACCACGTCTGTGAGCACACATGTTTCAGCTGTTTTCATTTGTATGCCCACATATACGTGTTTCAGCTGTTTCATTCGTATCGCCCACATATACGTAGCTCCTCTTTGTATCCCCCCTATCTATCTCACGATAAAGCTGCGTCCGCATTCTGGCACCATTGATTTCTCTAGAAACTGAAAAACAACGTCTAACGCTAAATTAAAAAAAAAACTTACCGCCTCATTCGAGACACCCAGTTTTAACCCGGTAAGCAAGAAATTTAAATTCTGTACGGTCAGTCGCAAGAAATTGGCAACTTTTTCTACAACTTCTGAAAATCGCAAATCCCGTGTCCGATATGAGAGTTTGTTTTTCTAATTTGATTCTCAGGGGATACATCTTCCCATTGGAAGAGGAAAATTCTCGCGACTGGGAGGCCCGAATGAAAGGCCGCTAACGTCGCGCCCGTTCGTCACAGAGGCGACTTCGCCGATGAAATCTCGCCGTGTGTTAATGACCGACGTCACCGTTCTGTGTGTGTCTGTGTGTGTATGTGGATGAAAGTTAAGCGCAAAAGTGCCGAGCGGATGCGCGATTCGTCATATATGCAATGTATGCGGCGGGCGCGGGGCACGGCAAGAAATTCGCACGGATATACAACTCCCCCGGCTGGTTTCACTTTGGCGGGCATAACGGACCAAACAAACATAACGGTAGTTAATGAGCAGCGCGGCTCGACTCGGCACGGCGACTATAGAGCTGTCTTCGCCGTCACCACGTGCCAACTCCTCTTGTCTAACGCGGATTCGATTTCGGCCCCGCCGACGAATGAATTACATATGCAGGAGACTCTCTGCCCGCGTAATCACCGCGTTTACAGTTACGATTAAGAACCGGTAATCTCGGGATGATCGCTGTAAAACGGAGCTCCGATTAAACAAATCCCGGAGAAAGTTTTATCATCTCACCGAGACGGGGGCCCCGGCTGACTTTTATAGCGGCAATATATTACAACGTTCGGTAGGTTTCGATTCTTAGAACCTCCTCCTCGGTTGCATCGCAGACTCATCAGTTAAAGACAACGTTTTGCGCCTTAAGGCTCCCGGGGTCCCTCGCTGTAACTGTCCTTGTTTGATGACGTCAGAAGCGGGAAAACGCATGTCAAGAACGCGTTCTTGCGGTTATACGTTCAAATAAAAAGATATACTCACAAAATGACACTTGTGATCGATTCGGTACACTTGTAAAGTTGCCCGTGCACTTTTCTTTTACTCGAACAATCAATGAACAATCGCAAAGTTAATCTGACACGGAACCATTCATCTTAAACCACTTTTCTCATAATTTTGTCAATATTAATTTTACGTTTAAGGTATGCTTGTTTTAGGAAAATACTAAAATTTTATTTAATTTTAAAATACTAAAATACGAAAATTTACTTAAATTTACTATGCCATAATTTTAATCAAAATATTGACACCTTGTTACTACAATAATTTTCTCTTCTCGGGCAAAATAAGCGGAGATATTTATGGCATCAGAATATCATCGTAATATTGCCGCAATTTTTACGGCATCAAATGATCTTTTATATAATGACAAAATGCTTCTTGTGCGAGAACGCATTTTAACGCACTTATGCTAGTCACGATACAGATAATATACCGAAATATGTCTATCTAATGACTGTCTTTTAAATTATAAATGTCTGAGATTTTTAATTAAAAAGACATTCTGTCTGTGATTGATGACAAACTGTTGTATAACGAAATAGAGCGCAAAAGTAATAATTTAGACAAAGATTTAGGGCATAAAATATCGTCTTAAAACTATAGTGAATCAATCTGCTAAGGCTTTTACACGGAAGAAAAAGTCCAGTCGAATTAATCCGACGATGAACGAGCCAAACACATTTTAATTGAAGGAAACGGAATTTCTGGTTCTTACAAACCAAATTCAATTCTTGCAACCAGAGATTCTGTCTCTTTCGACTAAAACGTGTTTGATTGGTTCATCATCAGATAAATTCGATCAAACTTCTTTTTTCCACAGTTTAGTCAGACTGAGATGGTGAAATACGTAATATATCGGAATTGGTAAGATTCATGGTCGCTGCTGTTATCAAACGCAAGGAAATGCATAGTCAAAATTCTTTCGAAATACGTCGCTAGACAGCATAAATTGTCCAAAATCGGGACATAATACGTTTTATGTCCCGATTTTGGACATTTTGTGGTCTGGGTTGAAGTAAAGAGATATATTCATAAAACGACACTTGCGACCGATCAACACATTTGTAAATATTTCGGAAACTTCCCTACTGTTCTAACAAACAATAACCTAATAAATGTTATAATTTTCGACTCAATAATGTAATTGTTACATAATATACGCGTTATATTGCATTTATATTGTTGAGTGGAAATTATAACCTTGACGTTATATTATTGCTAGTATTTATTTGAAAGTAACCATAAAATCAATGACATGCAATCTTTCTTTTCAGTCTATTTTCATAATTTTATCACGTTAATTTTGACGGATATTTATTAAAATTGTTAAAATAAAAGTTTCCGAAATATTTTACAAATATGCTCACTCGATCGCGAGCATCGCGAGCATTTTTACAAATATATTTTTTTATTTCAACGAACTTCGAGAATTTTCGACACACGTTTTCTCGCTTCTGACGTCATTAATTAAGATGATTGCGACGAGGAAACATGAATTAAAAATTTTAAATTTAAAAAAAGAAGAAAGAACGCGTTGTTTCAAAGCGAACACAAAGACAAAAATTCTATACACAATGTTAAATTTTGATCTTATCGTCCCAAGTCCGTAGAAAGATTTCCCATGTCATGTAAAGTGTGTGTGTGCGCGCGCGCACGTAGACATCACGCTTTAATTAGGTTCGCACGATTTCTGCAATTTTGACGAACTTTTCGTTATGTCTCATACAGGAAGTCCGCGCGAATATCGCGAGTTCCAGGGAACCGACCAGTCGAGTGAATAATTCTAGTCTTCCGAGATCCGATTCATATTCGTATGTGATTAGTCATAAAAAGGTTGTAACACTTTTTTTTCGATGAATTCCCCGATGGGAATATATTGCAGAACTATGTAATCGATGAGAAGTGAAATGAAAGTTAATGAAAAATTCCTGAATATATATAAAAATGAATCATAATTTTCCTTTTAAACTACGATGTAAAATACTGCGAAATATAAGAAGAGGTAAAGTATATTGTTAAAATATAATTAAAAAATTTTGAAATATCGGATATATAAAATTTACCGAACATAACTGAAAGCTGCGTGATTTTTTCAAAGAAGAATTGCTGAAACATCGGTTAAAATCATTTTCCACCGAAATATTGGTGAAATAATAATAAAACGGGATCAATTGAAAGGAATTTTCAAATACATTTTCATTATATTTCCAGTAAAATATTTCCAACAAGGTTTCGCGACGAATCTCACATCCAAGGAAAACGTATCTCCTGAGAACGAACTAAAAAACCAAATCCTCCTATTGGACACAGAACGCGTTCCGAAACTTACAAAAAAAAAAAAGTGTTGCAACCTTTTCGTGACTGTCTCAGCACACAAACACACGAAAATTCGGCCCACGCTCGAGCGTGAACGCGACGGGCGCTTTGGATTTCGGCTTTCAGACTTCAGAGGAGAGTTCGAGCCGCGAAATTCGATTGCGAGACGTATATCTCTCTCGTGCGAGAAAAACGGAACTAAACTGGCGGAAAAGTTAAAGGACAGAAAGTTTCGCTCGGCGCTGCTCGAAGAGCGCGAGCGCGCGCATCGCTTCCTAGTTTTTAAGCTTAGCGGCGGCCTTGTTACCGCCAGCGAATCGACCGTCATCCGCATAGCGCTACACAACTCCTCAAAGTGGAACAGTCGCATCCTTCCAGATTCTACCTATAAAAGCGTGCGCCGCATACGTCGGCGGCGCACGCGAATTTCTATTTCTCGAAACCACCATCACCGTCGTCGCCGTTGCCGTCACGACTACCGGGTAACTTTTTGTCGACCATATTACGTGCATCGCGTACAAAAATCGCGGCTGCTCGCCGAGCGCTCGCGAGCTGAGGAAAATCGAATCGGCGCGCAGCGGCGCGCGAAGCTGCGGAGGAGAGCCGCGCTCGAGAATTGTCCGGTCTTATAATTATCACGTGCCGACGGTAGTATTCTGCGATTGAGAATGCAGTGGAATTCAATGAAACTGATCAAATCGAAGACTGATTGAGGTCAACGTTAAATTCAATCGAATAAATTAATATTAAGCTCTCTTGGCTCTCTCGCTGCGATCAATTTTTGTTCGATGACGTCAGAAGAGAGAAAACGCATCCCAGATAACATTAGGACGTCATAAAGACGTCCTTTGAATAATAAGACTACTGAAGAACGTCTTCTGGATTTGGAGACGCCGACAATTCTTGCGGTATATGTTCGGATGAAAAACAATGTATTCACAAAACACTGACATTCGCGATCGATTCGGCACACTTGTGAAATACTTCGAATAATTTCCCTTTGCTCCGACAATCAACAAATAACCGTAAAATTAACACGACAGGCAACATTCCTGTTTTACCTATCTTTCTCGCGATTTTGTCACGTTAATTTTACAATTATTTATTAACCGTTCGAGCAGAAGGTAAATGTTCGGAGCGTTATACAAATACGCTGATCACAAATGCCATTTTATCGATGTACCTTTTTATTTGAACGTATAGAATTCGGGGTATGAATTTTCTCGCTTCTGACGTCACAAGACAAGATGGCTGCGGTGAGGAGCCTTGAATAAAATTAATTACATTTAGTTCGAAAGCTTGGATAGTCGAAACATCGAGGTTAAAGGCAAGAAACTGGTGAAAAGTTCAGGCGTCCTTAGACCGGGGAGAATCGCGTAAATTTACCGAAGTAATGATTTGTGGCGTCTCTTTGGATTGCAAATTCGCAAATTTATTATCGAGCGATAATGATGATATCGTAGCCGGCGTGAGAGAACCGACGAAACCTTCGGTTCCCGTTCGGCGCGTCGTTGCATTTTGTTAAACATTACGACTTCGAGCTTCATTCGCGGTTCTCCTCTCATCCTCCAACCGCCTCCGAGTTATTGTACACGACTGTAAACCGCGCGAGAGAGACTATAAACTGGCGCGCGATAAAACTCCTCGGACACGGAGGGCATCCTCGGCGAACTCGCGAGTTTCTTCCCGGAGCCTTCTCTCTCCGTCCGATGCACGTTCCGTCACGTATATACACTGAGCTACCAAACGGTTTGAGCACTTTTTTTCTCCCCGGTACCGTTCGGGACGCGGCCAAGTGGCCCAAGGTAGTCCACAATAAGAGAACTTGTTTTCGATAACTATTTCACGGGAGTGTTAGATGATCCGTTGGATCGTCGGCTGCGCCTCGAACTGCACCGAAGAGAAGCCGCTCGAACGCCGCGAGAAATTAGAATTACTTCTCGCCTTAACTACTACCCTTTCCTTTAATCCAGTAAAATCGTAGCGGCGTCCATACGGGGGGAAAAACAGTTGGAAAAAATGCGAAACAATTACCGGCGTTGAGAAACTATTGTTTCAAGTTTTCTCGTAAATGAAACTCATGTAAGGTCATTGTCACTGACGATACGAGGACGCTCGCTGGAAAGATTCTCCTGTACTGTAATTCTCCACTGTAATGATTACAGTTACAAATATATTCCTCTCGGTGAACCGTTCTGGAGGCCGGTAAGTACCGGTAAAAGCGGTGATTCTCGGACGCGCGAGTCAACGAGAAACATCGGTGAGAATCGAGATGTGAGAGATCTCGGTGATTCTTTTCGCATTAGCTGACGAACGTCCGTCGTTCGCGGGGTCGAACGAAATATCACGGTCCTCGTCGGACAATTCGGATGAGTCGCAGGAGTTCGACACGGTTCGGGGAAACAGGAGCGCGTTAGACGGACGCGATACGAGGAACTTCTACGAGACGTCTACTCCTGTCCCAAGCAACGTTCCCGTACACTACGGCGCGAAGAAGGTAATTTTTACCTGATATGAAGGTGCTGGCCAAGGAATCGTCATCTTGACCGCCGACCGTCCCGGCAAACGCGAGCAAAAGGACGATGCCCCCAGGGGCGACTCTCAGTATCATCTTCAGCCTCCCTCGAGCCGCCTCCGTTCCTGCTCCTTCGCTCGGGAGTCGAGTGGTGAAGAGGAAAAGAAGGAAGAGCGAGAGACGGGGAATGAGAGAGATGGAGAAGGACGAGAAGAAGAAGAAGAGAGAGAGAGAGAGAGAGAAACAGAAACCGCCTCCGAGACGAGATACCGATACACACTGTGTCTCGTTCGCGTGGACTCGATCACGTGCGTGTCAAACTGCTCTTCACCGCGAGAGAGAGAGTTCAGCGATGTTCACAATGTTGTCGTCGTGCGGCTCGGGCCCGCATCGCCTACCTCGACCTGTCAGACGGATGGACTGACTGGGTAGAGATCAGGGCCTACTTGTGGGTCAGGGTGTGTGGACCCCCACCTGAGCACGGCGGCGGCGGCGAGGACGGCCGAGAAGGCCGAGGGAACGAGAGAAAGAGAGAGATGGTGAGGAGAGCCAGGTGGTGGAAAGAAGACAGAGGACGAGCGTCGACCGGCTTTACGGACGCTGTCCGGAGGGGATAGGGTTGCCGACAGGGGCGGGCTAGACTTCTGTGCTCTTCGCTTCCGCGACGGAGCGCGCGAGATTCGCCGGCTGAGGTTTAGATCTCCGAAAGCTGAAAGCGGAAAACAAGACCGCCGAGGAGAGAGACGAGCGATCGGCCTCGCCATTGATCGGCGCGAGGTAGCCGATCGTACGGACGTCGCGAATCGCCGGCTGGGATTTTTCATCCAGACGGAATCCGGACGGGTCGATCAGCGATTTCATTCACGGGGTCAGCAACGTCGCCGGTAACTCGCCGTGCGAACGTCGAAATCTAATCGGCCAATCCGTCCCTGCATTCTTCGGTACGCATCCTTCGTTTCTTCCTCGATAACCGATCATTTAAGTATCACTCGTATGGATACGTCGTGTCCTCCTACATTGCCGCGTCAAGTTCGTCGCTTCTTCTTCCTCTGACCCCTCCGCGCCTCGGAACTCGCTCTTTTTCCTATTTTCCTCCAGATTCGCGCGCTCTTCTTCCTCTTTCCCTCTCTGTCTCGTTCTCCTTTCTAGCCTCTTTTCCGTCATCCTCCCTTCTTTCGTGCCACTCGCGTGTGTATCCTGCACGCCAGTGTTGGTGAATAAGTACGCGTGCGTGCGTGCGTACGTGCGTTCGCGGGCGCCTGCGAGCGAGTGTGTGCGACTAGCGGTACTTTATCCGTAAATGTACGGGATACCGTACGATATTTCCCTCCAGAATCGATCGCTCCTCGCACAAGGTGGCATCGCGGCCCATGACTGTAATATAAATTCCCGATGGGATTTGAGGTAAAAATCCGTCCGGACGGTGTTCGACCGATGCACGGGGAGATTTACGCGCCGCTTGCAGGCCGAATCGCGCGCCTATGTTGTGATGTCCGGTCGTAATCGGGCATGACTGCGTCGTGCTGTCGAGAAAAAGATGAGAATGGAGGAAGTTGTTGGGAAGAACGCGAAGAGAGGAGCGACCGGTTTCTTCGAGCGAGACACCGAAAGGGACAAATACGCATACACACGCACACATACATACGGCGCACGAATGTCTAAAAATAGCAATTCTGCTCGTTCACTCCTTCGGTTTATCTCATTTGTTCTATTTATCTTATTTCTGCGCGTGCCACAATATCTTACCGGGGAATTTTACACGTCTCATATATATACATGTGTGTGTAAACTTTCGCTTAATTCGACGATAAGTCCCCGAATTTGCATATTGCGTGTGTATATGTGTATATAAAGAGATATGTGTCTTACTGGATAAAATAAGAAATATATGACATTTTCGAGAGCCCGGTAAGGACACTGCAGCGCGGTAGTTTACAGTAAGAAAAATACATTGATCAATCTTGAACTTACAGATCGGAGCCCCGTTGAGGTAAACAGAACGATAGTTACTAGGATACTACGTTACGTATATTCAGGCACTCAGGGCAGTCCCAGGTAGGCCGGGTCGATTAGAGTGAAATTCTCGATGCACTCGATCAGCCACATCAGCGGGAGGGTCTTGATGTGCTGCATGTTGTATTTGACACGCGGCTCACTTTTGCCCGGCATGTATATAATATAATGGGTGCACTCGTGCAAAGGATGGGACGCGTCGTTGGCGGTGTGAAAGGGTATCGCTCGCGTCCCGTCTTTCAGATCTTCCGGGTGTGGCTCTCTAGCCAGCACCGTCCCCTCACCCTCCTTCACTAGTTTCGTCAGGTCGTCCTTATTCAAATATATGTCGCCAATTCGCCAGTAATTTCTGCTCGCCGATAGAGCGAAGTAGAAGAAGCAGTTGTTGAAGAGGCGCGGCTGTTGGAGCTCCGCGTTCAGCCTCGCCTTCTTCGGGACGCCTAGAACCGGCGCGCCGCTGACTTCGAACGCTTCGAAGTCCATGTTAAACACGTCCTCTACATCTGCCGCCAGTGTGATCCCTTTAAACAAATAAACATTGCTTGCGATCGCGCACCTTTCACACGAATGAAGCTTGCGTTTGAATTGTTTTTCACTCGTGCATAGGGCAATCTTGCTGCGCATTTACGCGGAACCATGAATATGTATTCTCCTGATGAAATAATTGAATTACTTGGAACGTGGAGGATTATCGGGAACGCGTTATTGTGGTTCATCTTACATTTGCTGTTAAGAAGCCAACATCCGCGGACAATGGCGAACCAGGCATCGACTGACGATTCTGCAATGTCGCTGTACAGCTTTGTCTCCACTATGACGTGCGTAACGGTCGACCTGAAATGTAAGTTTTCATCGCATCACGCGGATATTTCACATTGATTTAAAAGGAAACAGACGCAACAGAAAATCTCTACCTGTATGCGGTCAAAACCTTAAACTTATGTTGCGCAGCTACGAGATTAAGTGCCTTCCGACTTCTGAACCTTAAATTTGAAGCGAGAACCATCATCTTGTCCTGTCCCATAATGAAGGACTTATCCATAGTTTGATTAAAATCCGGCGTTCTCTTGGATGGGTACGGTGACTCGTGACTTCCCATCAGAATCTCTCGCATCTCATCCGATTTGCAATAGTCTCTGCCAAGTTAAAACGTATAAAGTCGAGATTTCATAAGAAGAAAGGGCTATTCTTAAACATTGCGTTATCTTTCTCAGTTATATGTGTGATACATACAGAGGACTCTTGCCATATTTATCGTACACATCTTTGTCAGCATGATACCGTAGCAGTAACTTGGCTTCTTCAATTCCACCAGATATCACAGCATCATGTAGCGGTCTTCTGCTCTCAGTACCTGGTATATTAGGCGATGCTCCCCCTTTCAGTAGTAACTCGCACAATTGGGTATGTCCATAACTGACTATTTCTTGCTGACGTTACACAGAAAAGAAAACTCTAACTCAACGGAATAACATAATAAAAAGGGTAAGGAATAATTAATTTTTACATATATATATATATATATATCATTTACCAGTGGTGTCCAACCAGCGTTATCCTTTGTATTGGGATTTGCTCCAAGCGCCAAGAGAGTTGTAACACGCTCAATGTTTCTCTACAAGACAAACACATCTTGAAATCTTAGAAACTAATCACTGAAGATATGGTTAAAAAGGAAAATTTTCTTGAGGTGGACTACAACTGTTAACATTTATACCTTCAAACACGCTGTGTGCAACTGCGTTTCTCCTTTAAAATTTGTCTTATTTATATTTCTCTTAGGTATATATGTATTTTTTGGTGTACAGATTGTCTTGCATACTGTAGTACCCATTGAAATATTGGCAGAATCTATATTATTAGTGTCCCATAGGTCTCTAAAATAACAATATGCTATTACACTATTGTATACAATTAATAATTAAATCTAATAAGAACATTAACTATATATCTATACCTTCAAATATATAATGTACGATTGTATTTCTTTCTTGAAATCTGTTATTTACAAGTTAGCACTAAGTATTGTACTACAACTACTTCCACTTATGTTAAAGGAAATCTATCATACCTCTTGTTAATAATTTCGGCAATAATATCACAATTCCGAATAAGATTGGACACTGTGTGATCCGGACTCATTTCCTTCGGCTGCACTGGTATATTGCATATAAAACATTTTGTAATAGATTTAACACAATTGCAACAGAAGAAATGTCCACAACTTGTGAATCTTATAGGAGATACTGGTTTAAGTCCACTATATACAAAAAGATATTAAAACAATATATAAAATAGTACATATAGCAGTAAGTATAAATATTTTGCTGTGTAGAACAAGTACTTTCACAGTGATTAAAATAAATTATTTAACTATAACAACTTAGTAAATAATGTAATTACCATTTTCCACAAACTAAAATGTTCGCAAAATCCTGCAAAGCAATTGCTGTGTCTGGCCACAAAATTTCCATTGTTGCAAAACGGATTTTCTGACTGTCTAAAGTGTAATAATAATCGCTATAAATTTTCACAAAAAAATTAAACAGATTAAACAATCATTGAACAGAGAAAACCAATTAAATACATGTCATTAATCATCAATCATCTTCAACATAATCCCGAACATTCCGAACTGTTGTGGAAGTTTTGGTGTTGGAGACGAGGCGGTAATCTTCCTATTTACTAACGCGCCAAATTTGAAAGTAAGGACAGTACCAACTCGCAGAAATATTCACAGATGGCTGTTGCTTCAAAATATAATTCCAAAGCGTGACGCACACAAAGGTTAAGTTCGTTTTGGACGCTTTTATACTGAAAGTATCATTCTAACTTTATTCTTCTTTACATGCTGAAGAAAGATCGAATAATGTGCTTTCAGTGTGAAAGCGTTCAAAACAAACTTAGGGCCATGGCACACGCAAAAACATAAGCAGCGTAGGACTTGAGCAGTACGAAAATTGACCAATCACAAATGATTATCCTTGGACCGTAAGGAAAATAATCGGCCGTGGTTGGTCAGTTTGCTTACTGTTTGTGTTTTGTACATGCAATGTGTCAGTTTTCGTTACAAGCTGCCAGAATTTCCAATGACAAATAAAGGCCCTGGTATAACTCAACATTTGGATTATTATTTTACAAGTAGCACGACTTAACAATAGATAAGAACGATCTTCAAAATATAAATATATAAATAATTTCTAAATTAATTTTATCGAATTAGCACCATTAATACGAATGTTCTGTAGTAGATCGTAGTCACTTAAAAAAAAAAAAAATAGATATTTAAAATTAATAATCATGTTTACCACTTAAATTAATCGCTTTAAATTTCTAAAATCAAAACTCGCATTTGATTTGATTTTTCTTTTTATATACCATTCACTTTATTATGTTGACTCGTTTGATAACCTATATACACAAATCTCCAAGGAATATGGACGTCTCGTGGAGTAAAATATATTGTGTGGGAAATATCCTACAAACTTATAAATTGAAGTATAAAATAAAGTATTTCAAAATTTTCCAATTCTATGCAAAATAGCACCAAGAATATTATATTAGTTGCTGCCATACGCAATGTATAATCTAAATTTGGAAACTCATTTGATGCTCACGTTTTAATTATTGCAAATACGAAATAAGGTCAAATTGAATACATTTTGTTAAATTGTTGAGTACTCGTATATGTAATACTCCTTTATGGCTAACGGAAGCCTGAGCGAAACCGCAACAGCATGCTCGTCTGCCTTTATCAATGTTTAGTTTGTTGTAAAGCGCGTGCGTGATATTTGCGTGCAATTTCCACCATGGCCTAAGGCAATATGATTTGGTCTGACGCTATATTCAAAACGCTATATTCACGTAAATTTTATAAGCTTATGTTCGCCATCTGTTCATATAATACAAAGACTCTGTCGCGATAATAAAAATATTTATTTTCCTGTTACAATTATTATAATTATTATGTAACAATTATTATAATTAACAATTGTTATAATTATTAATTATCAATTATTCAGTTCCTTTAATAAATCTGTTTACATTTGTCGTTACACTTACGCATGAACATTTCTCCTACTCTTTCCTGTACAGCCAACCATCCATCTTCTATCCTTCAGTGTCGAATTCATTTCCACTCATAGGAAAACTGCTGCGTTAGTCATATAAGAGTATTACATATATGTGGGTACTTCATGAAACCGCCATTTTGACAATTAAATTAAGTACATAGCAATGTTACCAACTTATATGTGCCAATATTTTCCATCATTTTTACCTCATTTGAGTGTCAACTTCCAAAAATCATGTTTCAGCTGACTTTTGTCTTAGTATGCTTTCTAAATTATTTGAAAATTGAAATGTTGGATTTTCTTTTTCTGAAATAAGTTAATTTTCTTTGTTTTACTTAAATTTTGGATTTTAATTTCAAATTTTCTCAATTAAATTTTAATTAAACCTCATTATGTATGCATATAATACTTATAGTAAATGTATACAAATGTGTGTAAATTTATAGCGAATATCTTTGCTTTCGATATTTCCCTGTGAAATGTTATTAAAATGTATGCATTGTTGAAGTAAATATACATATACAATTTTATAAGGAGCAATTGTACGTGCAGTATTTTTCAACGATATATATTTTGTTCAAATTCACGTATTTATTTTATATTATATTAACATAATAAAAGCAATCACATCCACAAACTGATTATGTATCTATTTGTTTCTATTTTGTTTTTTGTTACTTGCACACACACTTGTACATAGAGCATACACACATTTATTACTTTTAGCTTATTTCTGGCATATTTTAGAAAAGAGAGATTTAATTACGTGATGGATTTAAAATTTCGAGTTGGCAACATTGGTGGTAGTACATAACGCCGCAGTTCTAAATACAGTCTTCGTAGGTAAGTAGAACTTTGACTCGAATTTATTAATTCTAAGTGATTTATTTGGTATTATTTTCATTACAATGACCACTTAATTTTTATTAAAAAATAACTATCTTTGTGAGGCAAAAATATGAACGTGGGATTAAAATTCGAGTGTAAAATGGCATACTTAACACGTATAACCTCTCAACATTAGTGCTAATTTCACATTTAACATTAAATGTGATCGCTTAAATCCAAGAGGACAGCGATTTTTATACAAGATTAAATAAGGTTAACCTTTATACCGGTTTGATGATGCCGCCACAAGCGAAGAAACACGTGCCCAAAATTCTTGCGAAATATGTTGAAATAAAAGAATATGCCTGTACAATGGCTGCGTTCAGCAGAAACAGCAGTTAGTAAGCGCTTTCCGCTGCGCTACCAGTTTTACAACTGTTGTAAGGTTTTCTGCTGAACAATACCAGCGGCTTACGCTTTTTTAATGTGTTTACTAAGCACAATCATCATTTTTTACGGCATACTTTTAACACGCTGAACTGCTTAGTAAACATGTTGGAATAGGCGTAAATTGCTAAATGTCGGTGAGCAGAAAATCTAACAATAGTTGCAAAGCTACTGGCAGCACAGCGGAAAACGCTTACTAACTGCTTTTTTGCTGAACACAGTCGAAGGCTGTATTCAGCAGGAAAAGCAACTCCATGAGCGCTCAGTGATTATTGGCTGGATTCAGCAGAAAGAACAGCTCAGGATTAATGATTATCGTTCCTGATTGGTTTATACTCCTAGATCTATCAAGAATCTAAAAAAATGCTCCAGTCACAAACAATAATCACTAAGTGCTCACTGAGCTGCTTTTTCCGCCGAATTCAGCCATTTTTTGTGTCTGGAGCATTTTTGTAGATTCCCGATAGATCTAGGAGCATATACCAATCAGGAGCGATAATAACTAAGTGCTTCCTGAGCTGCTGTTTTCCGCTGAATCCAGCCAATGACACTTATGATTATTGGAGCACATCTTCAATATATTTCGAAAACTTTACTTCTGCTGTACAATCAATCAATAACTATAAAATTAACACGACAACTTTCCTTTCTAACCTACCTTTCCTCATGATTTTGTCACTTTAATTTTACGACTATTTATCACGATTGTTAGAGTAAAAAGAAAGTTTTCGGGATATTTTACAAATGTCTTCAATTGGTTATCTTTTTATGGGCACATATTTTTATTCCAATGTACATGGCAAGAATTTTAGGCATACTTTCTTTCCGCTTAAAACCTAACCTAATCTGACTCTAACCTAGACCTACCTAAACCTTAAACTTAGACCAACCTTAACTACTTTTTTTTTTTTTATGAGAGACTGGATGCGATTCTCCCGAGACTGCTTTCATATTACTTCTGCTAATTCGCATGAAATATTGGGTTGATACAAAAGTTCCGTTTTTAATCAGTTCTTTGCTAGGAAATCCTACGAATTTCTACGAATCGGGATCATGCAGTTATCGGAGAGAGATAATGAGGCAGAACAAATCGGAGCATATTTGATTAATTGTATCTATAAATAAATTAATGTTATACGTATATTTTGATTAAAGAATAGAACGAACTTTTACATCAACCCAATATATAATATGGCTGCAAACATATGTAATAAACTGACATACATCGTATATCGGGGCTGCGTTCGCTTTGGGCGTTCATGTGCTGTGTCGTTCTATCTCCTTTTGGTATATAATAGATAATAAAGATAGACCAATGTTTACACAACTTATAAGCGCCTAAATTAAACACAACTATGCATTACGAAATGACGCGAGCTTCAAATGCTAATTGGTATATTTTTAGGAGATCGAAAAAAATGGTATTTCTCCTTTATGGAATTATTGCAATTTTGCGAGCAGTACGTTTGAACAATTTCTCTTCACTTCAAAAAATAATCAATAATCCGAGAAACAGTAGATCGGACTCTGTATAAAGAAAATTCTCTGGGGGTTAATCATGAATCTTCTTTTTTAACGTGAATTTGTGAAAAGTGTAAATTTGTTAATTTGAAAACATCTCTTCAAGAGATTTCATTTTTCACATTTCCGCCCTAGAAAAAAATTATATGATCGATATCTTGGTCAGTTCTGCCTAACGATAAGCGCAATTTGATCAATTCCATTGGAATAATTGGACGATTAACTTAATTGGAGATGTTGAGTCTGGATTCACAATAAGTGTAATAAGCTTTTAATAAGTTTTGTATCCTCTGTCTTGTTTTCTCTAACAATAAGCAATAAAACGGAACATAATTTCCGGCAAAAGGCACTTTTTGCTCTGCCATAAGCCGCAATAACACTCAGATCTTAGAAATTGCGATACCTAATAGTACTGGAAACGTTATTTACTAGAAATTATGTTAAAATTTACAAGGGTTAACCAGGGTTTATCCCTTCCAATTTGAACGAGATTGGTACAGATAGTAGTACTACCCTGCCATGAATCAACAGTAAAGTGACCGAATGCAATTTTCAAGCATTCGCGAGAAAAATGCGTTTAAAGTTTTCCGTAATCCTTATGTATCGATTTACAATGATGGTTTGTCTGAGTGAGAGTGCAATAGCCTGAGTGAGTGTGTCTCTGTCTGACATGCGTGGTGATCGTGGAAATAAGGAGGAGAGGAAAACAGCTGTACTAATGATGATTGCGGTTCGCAAATCAGAGTGTTAATATGAAATATTAGAATAGCATTAAACATTTGAAAATGGTGAGATATTGTTGTATATGCAAAGTAGAATTTGGAGGTTTTGATATTCAATCATGTTATTACGTTACCCTTTCCTTGTAATTGTCTTTTTCTCTCTCTTAACAAAGAGCGAGAGACAACATCATACAGAGAGAATATTCTTATCCTTCAATGTAGTTTTCAGAGCGCCCATGAGGAGGCGCAGTCTGTCCATATAAGTCTGTGAGTCTATGTATATATGTCGTTGATTGTTTACTATCTGCACGAGTTCTGATTGGCTTCTGTTTTTCTGCTTTCTGCTTTTCTGTCAAGGTGTGAATTTTCCCTAACATTTATGTTATGTTGTGACCGAATGTTAGTCCCGGTCTACAATGGTATTTTTTAAGCTTTAAGAAATTGACCAATTATAATCGATTATTATCCTTGCTTGACTGCGATTGGTCAGTTTATTAAAGCTTAAGACATTTATTGTAAAACCTTGGAGCTTAAGTCAATATTTATAGTCGGGTCTTATATTTAAGGCCGGTATTCATAGTCAGATCTTATATTTAAGACTGTCTTAAGTTTATCTTCAGATATTCTACGGCTCATTTCATTAGCTACGACGTACCTGAAAATAAACTTAAGACAGTTTTAAATATAAGACCCGACTATGAATACCGGCCTAAGATCATTCTAAGTTCATCTTCAAATGTTCCGTAGCTGATGAAATGAGCTGCACAATATCTGAAGATAAACTTAAGACTATCTCAAATATAAGATCCGACTATGAATATCGGCCTATTAGTGGTGTTCACTATATACATGCGCCTACAGACACATACATGATATTCAACCAATAAGAGAATGACTGTCATACGCATGCGCGAGATTGTATATATTTTCTTGAGTTGTGCATTTCGGCCAAGTTAGTAGTATAGTGTATATTGTCCTATAGATATCTGTGGTCGTTATCGTCTGTTTTTATTCTACGTTGGCCTCTTTACCAAAGCAGGCATACTCGGTCTAATCTTGCTATGTCTATAGATCGCTCGAAAACAAAGGCGTGATCGTTCCGGTATGTATATAGTTCAATGGCTACAATATATCTGAAAATGTATCTAAGACGGCTTTAAATATAAGATCTGACTATCAATACCTGCCATAGATGTCTGTAATCGATTCTCCCCGGTTTCATGCAGACCCTTTCCGTTAGAGGGAGTTCAACTAACATTTCCATCCTTATAACCTAGATCTGCCCAAACCCTAACTTCATTCAATCCTAATTTAATCTTAAACTCGTCATCACAATTTTACCTGTTTACATGAGAGAAATCTATAGATTCAAATAAAAAATAGTATAATCGATGGCACTAATCACAAGATTTTAAGTCAATATTTCTTTCACTTTTACATCTTTTTTTCTGAAACTGATTTGTACAAAGTCATTGTCAGCCATATTGGAAACGTATTTGCCAATATGGCTGAATTTTTTTTCTGACCAAGAAATAATAATTATATTTGAATTTTGTCATTATATAATTATATATAATACGTAATTATATATGTCGTATACATATTTAACAACATGCATATACATGAATCGTATATAATCATATATAATTTTCTTATATAATTATAATTATATACCCAGCAAACGGCTGATATGCATATTTATGTTGACGCAACATAATCGATTTTATATGCACAATGTAACTATATTATTAAACTATTATATTATTCTGTTATTTGTGCGAATTGTAACGGAATAACAATAATATAATTTAAATATAACACATTATATATCAAGTGTAGTGTTTGGATTATGTCTGTTATGTAACATTTTTACATATAGATGTCAGATCGTCCGTTAGATGGCGTCCGTTTCTCGTACGTAAATTATAGTTGCGTTCATCGAACATAATGATCGATCTTTGAAAATGGATGTGATTGGTAAATCTAAAAGTATATACCGATCGTAGATGATGCTTGCTCAATATTATGCAATTATTGTGTTTACTGAATACAATCTATGACGTATTAACGTATATAAGAACGATGATCATTATACAGCTACTTGTACTGTGGAGGCCATTCTTCTCATGAAGTAGTATGCTTCTTAATTAGTTATCATTATTGTCACCAATAACAATCTTTGCCATCGAACCATTCGCGGTATTATTCACGGTAATGGGAGTGAACAAATTGTAGTAGCTGGTCAATTTAAAGTAGTACACTTATTCACTTATTAAATATTATTTTTTATATGAAATCATCAGTGCCTTTTTGGAAACATCTTTACAAATTAATTGATATTTGAATGACAATTTATAACCATTGTCTCTATTTCACAATTATATATCTATATGGTTACTGGAAAATTGATAATTTCTATTCCAAGTGTGTGTGTGTGTGTGTTGTTATATAATTTGTATAACTGCACTATAATATAACGATGCATATACTTATGTTGTACAACTATGTATTTATATTGTATAACTAACAAGAGAACCTCGCGAACCCGAAAATTTAGATTTCAATGAAACTGATATAAATATAGGTTGAATAGATAGATGAATTTGGAAATTTTTAATTAGGATTATAAAACGGTTTGAAAGGGTGAAACTACCCTTCAAAGATAGATGCTTTCACCTTTTTTTCAATATATCCCGTAAACTAAATGAAATATCAAATAATATATTATACAAAAGTTTTGTAGAAAAATGTTATTAATTACGCCACTTATCTTTCAAAAAATTATT